TTCAAATGTACAAACGAAGACATAAAAATTAAAAACTATAGTAGTACATAGAGAGGTGTGTAATGTGCATATTTTATTAGCAGTTTGTCGAGAATAATGAAGGCAACTGGTGTGAAATCGAATGCTCTCTAGTTTCCCCTCCTTGGAGTTGTTGTTTGCCAGCAAGAAGAAAGGTCATATTGTTTGTTGTGTGCAAGTGGTACACCTAAGCAACCAAAGCAATTTTGTGGTGCTTTTGTTTTAAAAACTTGACAGATTTATTTAAGCAAGAGGCATATATGCAGCATAGCTGTTGACTAGTTGATTTGTCCAGGTGATCAATATTGCTGATCCAGATGAATTATCTGTCTACTGCTAGCTATAACAAATGGTGTTTCCTTTTCTTTTTAACGAAGAAGAAAAAGGAGTTACGTAGATTAATATTATGGAGGATCGTACATCCATCCGGTGGATGGAAGTGCTGTATGGACTCTGGTCATAATCATACTAAGACGCTGCAAGTGTACGTTTTCTTGAAATAAGGTTACATATTTTTTCCGATTACAATTATAAGGCACAAATTAATACTGAAATTAACTTTAATTTATACTCTGTACCAGAGGAAAAATATGTTATTTGCATTTAAACTTTCTTTTTAATGCAATCATAATTAGCGATTACACAGTAATAATGTACAATTCTAAAATGCGTTATTACACCGTAGACTTCCTAACCCTACTATATTTTATTTCTTTTATAAAACCCTAAAAGAGTTGCCGTCTCTTTTCTCTATGGAAAGAACAAATGGGGAAGCAAATTTCTTTTAGATAATATACTATTGACCAAGTGTGAGTATATTTCTCTTTTGATTAAGTCCCCCTAATGGACAATCTACTATTCTTATAATAAGTGGATATTTAGTCTTTAAAGTGTAGCAAATGTTCGTTTGATGTGGTTTTGAGGACACATTCTTCACAAATCTAATGACTCGTTCAAGACCATAATTATTAACCGCTTTATTACATGATTTGTCTATAATAGCATATTCATTACCCCTACGAGGTTTGAAGTTAATTATACATCTGTAAATTGCATGATTTTCAATATGATGGCATTGATTATTATGAGTTCGATTATGCAATTTTGTTAATATATTACTGTTATTTCAATAATAAACATCGAATCGGTATCTTATAAAAGAAAAATAAAATTATTACACCTTATCATGATGATTTCAGTTTGATATGTAGATTCTCTATTGGACAAATTTGGGTGCACGTAATATTATTTTGTTTGGTAATGTTACTAGACAAAAAAAAAAAAACCATTATCGTGAAAATGTCCCTTAGTAGAGCCTTTTTGATATGTGTTGCCTCTGTTATTGGCACCTGGATAATAAGAAACCACTGGTCCACCCTGAATCATTGAAATTGGGGCCAGAAAAAAATGAGGGTATAATGCACATACGAGTTGACCTACACTGAGTGTTTGACTCCATCATTATTTGGCTCATCTTGTTCGTTTGTACTTTCTTTTTTATTAAGGTTAATTTCTTTTGAAAAAGAAAGCAATGGTAAAGGTAATTTCGTCGAAAATGAAACGCATGTGCATCTACGTTAAGGCAAAATGACAAAACTAATCCAAACAAAATTTCCCCCCACGAAATTGGGAAAAGCTACAAAATCCCGTAATTTGGATTGGGAATTTGTGAGTGTGGTGATAGAATACTACACACGCACAATTTGTGTTACAAGCGTGACATTTGTTACGCATTACACATGCATGCAATGCGACATTCGTATTAGGAGATTTATCCCTTTTATTATTATTATCCCTTTTACCCTATTAAAGCAGAATACAGGATGTTGATGTGGCAACTTCTTATTAAAAATTTTTGGCTCCAAATGCACCATATTGCATTAACCATTCTGCCACGTGTCATCTCTTTTTAAAAGAAAAAAAAAATTCTTATCCAGAAAAACAAAAGCTACTTTACAAAAATAGCTACACAATTTTAACTCCTAACATTTATCATTTATCAATCAAATTAAAATAGTATTTAAATTTGTCCATAAACTTATCCCCTTTATTACTCCATATTCTTTCGTATGATTTCTGAATCGTTGTACTTTTCAATATTTTTTCTCCTTTGACAGATAATTTTTTTATTTTTATAATTATTTTTTGCTAAAAAGAAAAAAAAAACAAATGTGTAGCTATTTTATTTTTTCCAAATCAAGAATTCATTTATTTATTAACATAAAATTAAAGTAGAGGGGCGCCCGGGCATCTGCCTGGGCCAAGCATCTAGTTACCCTATTAAAGCAGAATACATGATGTTGATGTGGCAACTTCTTATTATTAAAAATTTTTGGCTCCAAATGCACTATATTGCATTAACCATTCTGCCACGTGTCATTCCTTTTTAAAAGAAAAAAAAAAATTCTTATCCAGAAAAACAAAAGCTACTTTACAAAAATAGCTACACAATTTTAACTCCTAACATTTATCATTTATCAATCAAATTAAAATAGTATTTAAATTTGTCCATAAACTTATCCCCTTTATTACTCCATATTCTTTCGTATGATTTCTGAATCGTTGTACTTTTCAATATTTTTTCTCCTTTGGCAGATAATTTTTTTATTTTTATAATTATTTTTTGCTAAAAAAGAAAAAAAAACAAATGTGTAGCTATTTTATTTTTTCCAAATCAAGAATTCATTTATCTATTAACATAAAATTAAAGTAGAGGGGCGCCCGAGCATCTGCCTGGACCAAGCATCTAGTTATTATTATAGCTAGCAATATTTTGAACTTTTATTACGTCAAAATCTTATAAGAACGATTCTTTCCTCTGTTAATCTCCTTTCTTGAAAAAAAATATAGTAAAATAAAATAAAATTATAAGTAAAATATTATTTTTGAAATAGATAGCTTATTGATTATTAAGTATTTTTTTTCTGTCCCAAATTATCGTACGGTTTGAATTTTCATTGTTAGTTCAATTTGGGGACAAAAATTTGAAAATCTAATTTGAACAATTTGAATTTTGTAACTAAGATTTGTAACTTTGTAGTATTGGTTTGCTCATTGGTTTAATATCTTCCCCATATTGAAGCAATTAAAAAATAACCACTAAGTTTGAACTTTGAATTCCGGTACAGACGTGTTTTATGGCCATCTCAAGCTACACAGGAGTATGTTTTATGCAATAAGAAATCTCATTCAAAATTAGGAAGTGAATCCTGAAATTTGAATGCAAACTAACTAGTCTTTGCCCAATTTAATTTAAGTTTGTCAACGAGACTCTTATCTTGGTGCCGACTCTTTAAACTTATGCAATTTGTTATCTTTTGTGCATATCAAACAAATTCATTTAATGAATTGCGTAATATGAAAAAAAATCTTATCATACTACAAAATCCGGACACTTATGTTCACCTCCCACCACCCCCCCTCCCCTTTTTATATATATATATACTAGCAAAAATCTCAATACGGTTTGATTAAAATTTTCATAATTTTTAATTAATATATATATATATATATAAACTAAAAAATACTATCATTATAATATTCAAATTTTAGTGCAGTACATAGTAGATTTTTACAGAAGAAAACTATTGAATGTAATAAAAATTGACCCAAAAAAAAAAAATGTCTACTAGGCTCTTGCTTATCCGTTTAAACAAGTTACGTCATGATAACGGTGTTAGTGACAACACTATAGTTTATTTATTTATTCAATAATAATTTAAAAACTCTTTCAACAAAATACACCAAATTATATAATTTTTTTTAAAAAAATAAAACTGCAAAAATTCATTCAAGACATCATAAGAATGAAGATAAAATTAATATGAGAATTGTGATTGGCCACTCGATGTCAACATAATAATTTATATTCAAATGCTTTCCAGCTAACAAACTGCGTATGGAATTTATGAGACCCCTCCCCTCCTTTCTTTTAAGAGACTTACCCAAGTGAAAAACACTCCATCTCCATCACCATTTTCAGATTATCACAATATATCACCACTCCTTTCCACATCAATGTCCCACAAAAGGGGAAAAAAAAAAGAAGAAGAAATATAAAAAAAGGAAAAAAAGGCATTTTTATAGACACAAGCACACGCAAAAATTAAACAGAAAATCAAGTAATTGCCACCGTAATTAACTAAAATCTTATTCCGGTCATATTTGCTGTACTATTTTAGCGTAATAATCAAAACAATTATTTTAAACAGAAAAAGTTATTTTTTTAAAAAATAATATCTGACATGATATTCAGTCACTAGTTATAACATCATAGGTCATTACCGCATCGGCCACTATAATAAAATCCCAGAGTATTGAATAGTATTGATGATATCATTGGTCCTAATATCCTTACCAACATCTTATCTTTAAATCTGCCAAACAATTAAGGGCGAAATATAAATAACAAATCCCCAAAAAAATCACGCGGTCCCTTCATTCCAAAATAAGTATCATTTTACATTTTGCACATAGTTTAAGAAACTCTTAAATAGATTAATAAAATTACTTGAATATCTTCAACCAATCTCATTAACAAAATGTTCACCAATAGTACTAATTCTTTCGAGGGTAATTTTGAAAACTCTGAACAAAAAGTACATTGAAATGTGAGAACGACACTCATTTTGAAAAGTTTCCATTTTGCTAAAACGATACTTATTTTGGAACGGAGGAAGCACTAACTTTTCTTTTGAATTTTATATAGGCGGTAAACCAAGCAAAATCTTCCAGAGTAAATACTACTGATTAAATGTACTAAGATTACCACAAAGATTTTGTGTAATATAATAAGCAGCACAATAAAATCAACATAATTGCGCAAACAACTTACCAATTAGAGAAATTGAGAATTTGACAATTTGTTTGCACTTAGCTGGCCCCGGAGCGTATTCATCGGCAGGTCAACTCCCCCATGGCCGGACCCCGGGACCGGAAACCCGAGCCAAACCCAAAAAAAAGAAGAAAAAAGGTTGGCCGTGGTCCATATCTGGGCAGTCAAACCCGAGCCAAAATTGCGATGGACTTGTAAGAGTAAGAGCAGCTTTTTTTGTTGGTCTGGATTAAAAAAAGTCGTCGCCGGAGAAAAGAGGCACATAAAATAAAAACCAACCAACCCCATTTAACCCAAATCAAACCAAGCAACCATCTATTATTTTCACGTTCTCTCTTTCCATTCACTCATTCATTCAATTCATGAATTGTCAGCGGCGTTGTTATTTCTTTGTTCCCTAATATTACATAAATAATAATATACTCAATTTAATATCAATAGACAATAATAGTGTTTTTTTTAATAATATAAGAAGAAACTGGAAAAAAAAAAAAAAACCCAATGACCAAAATCCCTTTTTATTCTTTACTTTAACTTGGTAGCAGTTGTAGTAGATTACAGACTGCTGTCAATTCTCATCAATTACTACTCACCACCATAGAGAGAGATGACAGTGTTTTATCGCTGCAGCTAATGCTTCTGCTTCTTCTTCTTCTTCTTCTGCAGTTTTTCTTCTTCTTTTTTTTTTTGGGTTGAGCAGTGAGCATTAGCAAACAACCTTCTTGAATCTTGACCCAAACAAAGCTTCAATCTTTTTCTTTTCTTTTTTTCGCTTCATACAACTAGAAAGTAAAATCCTGCCCACCATTTCTTTCTCTCGCTCTCTCTCTCTCTCCTTTTTGTTTTTTTTTTTTTTTTTTCCCGTTTTGTCAACTGAAGAAACTGGTAGAGAACCAGAAGAGAAAGAGGAGCACAGGAAAGGGGGGAACAAAGGAAAGAGATTTCAAGAAAGGGAAAAAAAGAAAAACAAAGGAAAACCCCTTTAATTTTTTCGTAACGAGAATCAAATCAAAAGGTAATAATAAGTCGTCTTCTTCTTTTCTTTGTTTAGTCTTTTGTGTTTCTCACCTTATGTTTGTTTTTTTGGGTTTGTGCCTCTTCCTTGTGGCCGTGGAACACAAAAAGAGCAAAAAAAAAAAAATGTATATTCTGCTTCTGCCGCTTTTGAATCAAGAATCCATTTATTTTCTGTATGTATAATTGAGCAGTGCTTTATTCAGGGGCGCAGGGTTTTTTATATGTTGTTTCCTACGAATGTGAGGTTTCTTTTGGAGTTCAATGAAGGTTAAGTGGAGATGGTGGATCGCCGGAGCAAAGTGGTTTTGTTGTGCTTTGTGTATTTGTCCTTACTTTTCAACTTTTCATTAGAGCAAACGCAGCATTTGTTGAATTCTCGGGTTGAGCGGTTGGCGTTACTAAGGTTGAGATCTTCTTTGGGTTTGAGGGCCAAAGAATGGCCTATCAAGTCTGACCCTTGTACACTCTGGGCTGGTATTCAATGCCAGAATGGCCGTGTTGTTGGGATCAACATTTCTGGGTTTAAGCGTACCCGAATTGGTGGTGAAAACCCTCAGTTTTCAGTGGATGCTCTTCAGAATTTTACCTTATTGGCTTCATTTAATGCCTCTAATTTCGCACTCCCGGGTTCAATTCCTGAGTGGTTTGGCACAGGGCTCCCTTCTCTTCAGGTGCTTGATCTCAGGTCCTGTTCAATTTTCGGTACTATTCCTTCAACTCTGGGCAATTTGACTAACTTACGGAGTTTGTACTTGTCTCATAATGGTCTTACTGGCATAGTTCCATCAAGTTTGGGTCAGTTGTTGAATCTCCAGATTCTTGATCTTTCCAAGAATTCCTTAACTGGGACCATTCCCGTGTCATTTGTTGGTCTCGGTAATCTTACTTTGCTGGATATGTCTGTGAATTACTTGACTGGGGGCATCCCTTCTGGAATTGGAAGTTTATCTAGATTGCAATCGTTGAATATTTCTGGGAATAGTTTGTCTTCTTCAATACCGGCTCAACTCGGTGATCTATCTAATCTGGTTGACCTTGATCTCGGATCCAATTCTCTAGCTGGGCCAGTGCCTTCCGACCTGAGAGGTTTGAGGAATTTGCAGAGATTTCTCATTGGGAAGAATTCGCTCTCGGAGTCATTGCCGGCAAATTTGTTTCCTCCTTTGAACAAGTTGCAGGTTGTGAATCTGAGTCATAATGCTTTTACAGGCGAGCTTCCTGCTGTATTGTGGTCATTGTCTCAATTACAATCCCTAGATGTCTCTGGAAATAACTTCACCGGTACACTGCCTACTGTTAGTTTGAATGCTAATGCTTCAACTGCTGCGTTAAACATATCTGATAATATGTTTTATGGAGGTATCAGTTCTGTGATTAGACGGTTTAGTTTTGCTGATATGTCTGGGAATTACTTTCAAGGTCAGGTTCCAGATTATGCCCAAAACAAGGTTCAAGTTGTTGAGAATTGTCTACAAAATGTTACTAATCAGAGGAGTGGGGGAGAATGCTCGTCATTCTATGCAGGGAAGGGTTTAACATTTGATAATTTTGGGTTGACAAATACCACTCAGTCTCCTCCTTCTCAGAAGAAGAGCCGGAGGACTAAAATCATATTGGCCGCTGTACTGGGAGGTGTTGTGGCTATTCTGCTTTTGGTGGTTCTGATCGTGCTCCTGATGGTATGCACCCGCAAGAGGGGGTCAACCAATCAAAGAGGCATCGGTGTGGGACCTGCTCCTCCAGGTGCAAGCCCTCCATCACCTGGAATGCCATTAAACCTTTCCAGTCTAGGAGATGCATTTACATATGAGCAGATACTGCTTGCCACAGGTGAATTTGGTGATGAAAATCTCATCAAACATGGTCACTCAGGTGATCTTTTCCGAGGCCTTCTGGAAGGAGGAATTCCTGTGGTTGTAAAAAAAATGGATTTGCAGTCTGTCAAGAAAGAAACATGCATGTTGGAACTTGACTTCTTCAGCAAGGTTTCTCATCCCAGAATAGTACCTCTTCTGGGGCATTGCTTGGAGAATGAGAATGAGAAATTTCTGGTTTACAAATTCATGCCTAATGGGGACTTGTCAAGTTCTTTATTTAGAAAAACTGATTCGGATGATGACAGTTTGCAGTCACTTGATTGGATAACTAGACTAAAAATTGCGATTGGAGCAGCAGAAGCTCTGTCTTATCTGCATCATGAATGTTCCCCACCCTTTGTTCACAGGTACTTCCAAACTTGCTTCTCTTAGAACCTCTTCTTCTTTTTAGATTTCATGCACATGTTTTCTGTTTTGTGATTTGTCTGTATTCGGGTGCTTAAAGTTTACATTGGGAACTGAGTTGTTGGCATGGATATACAGGATTTTGACATGTGGAATTACTTTCTTTCTTTCTTTCATTTCTTTTCTTTTCTTTTTTGGTCTGGGGAGCTACATCATCCGAAATTAAGATGAACAGAGCTGTTGTCAGTTTAATATCGTTGAATAATTGATATTAAGATATCTGCATGGTTTGTTCAGCATTAGCCCGATCAGCATCCCTTGGTATGTAATTCAGTTTTGTTGTGAGGCACAAGTAATAATAAGAGTAGGGAACATCTAGTGCCAAGCTGTTTTGGTGTGATCTCCATGCAGTTATTTGTTTATTTTTGGTTGAATGGAATGCCTTTTACAGGGATTCTGCAGTTAAAGTTATTGGTCTGTATGTGACAAACACTACATTTGTCTCATTAGGCCCACAAGAGTTTGCCTCATGCTCATGGCACTTATTAACACCTAGGTTTCCCTGAAATTCACTACTTTTTTCTGTTTCCTCTGTGGCAGTTAGGTGTCTGATCATGATTGCATTCAGTTTTTGTGCTTTCTGTCTACGTATTGTGATATCAGACATGTAGTGGCAGACTATCTGTACTGCCATCTTTTTTTTTTTTTTTTAATAAATAAAAGTTTGAGATTATTCTTTAATCTTTCATTGAAATGATGGTTGTGATTACTGCCATCTTACTTGAGCATGTTACTGAATGCTTTATTGTTATTTATAGGGTAATAAAGTACTCTTTCAATTATTACTATCATTTTTACAAAATACCAAAAAAGCATTATTTAGATTTCCATTTTTGGATTAATTTTATAGCTATTACTTTATGGGTACGTCATGGCTGTGTTTTGTTAATTTGTTGAGGTTAGTCGAGCCGCTTTTAAGGCAATTGACCATCTCAGGCAACATGGATGAAACTTTTTGCTCTTGTTTGCTAAAGCTTTATCCTTTTTATATGTAGTTGAATTGGCGAACGTCTCTATCTGGGCCAACAGTTCACATTCTTTTATAAGATGTCTGAAACACATAATCATCTCCTAATTTTCTTGAGTACAGGAATTACTGATGCCAGAAATCGAGTTTCTCTCTTTTTCAGATACATTTATATTCCATATAAAGAAGACATTTATATTTTTTGTCCCGTTTACTTACTTCCATGTCTTTTGTTTTCTCCAATCGCATGAATACACTTAAATGATCAATTATTGATATGCCTTTTATGTTTCTGAAGAGATGTGCAAGCTAGTAGCATTCTCCTTGATGATAAATTTGAAGTGCGGTTAGGGAGCTTAACCGAGGTCTGTGCTCAAGAAGGGGATGGTCATCAAAACAGAATCAGCAGATTGCTGCGCTTGCAACAGTAAGCAATCTATCAGTCCTTTGGGTTTATATGATTTTGAATCTCAACGTTGGATGTCTGTCGTTAATGTTTTTGATGCCTTTCTTTCTTCCTTCCCTTGGCTGTCAAAATATTTATTTTTCGTCATTTCGTGTTAAGAATTGTTATTATTGGAACAGGAGGATCCAGGTTATGCCTAATAGTGACTGTCCATAAATGCCAAAATATTGCACTTTCTAGCACCTTTTTTTATTAATGAGTTAGTAGTTGTTGAAGAGTACTGTATGTTGTCAGTGAATGCAAAAGGGTTTGGAATGTGGACGTGCTGTGCATTTGAATTCCTGTAATTTGGACCTTTTAAATTGGTCGTTTATGGTAGGTCATCCCCAAATGAACTTTGTGAAGCTTACTTTAAAGGCATAATGGCATAAATATCTAAGCCCATACTGAGACAAACGGAAAATGGGTCAGTTTTAAGAAGCGTAATAGAAGGCTGTCGTTGTATTCAAATAGATCGTCATATTCTTCTTTTGTTACATTTTGTGACTAGCTTTGCTTGTATTCAGCTTGTTCATTATAGAAACTGATTGTTTGTGTTCTATTATATTTGACTGTTCATTTGTAATGCGGGTCATGGATATTGTTTTACGGTTTGTAGTTAAAGCATTTATTAACTACATATCTTAACCTACAAAGTACTTGTTTGCCTCTTTGCCTTTTCAGATTGTCAATTGTAAATACAATGTACTCCATTTAAGTTCTGCTACATATATGTCCGTTTGAAGATTATTCTGATACTTCTAGATTACCAGCTTTAATTTTATTTATTTATTATTATTATTATTTTTTGGGTTGAAAAAAGTGGGGAGATGACTAACTACATATTTCCATTTATGCAGGACATCTGAACCCAGCACCTCTGGTAAGTACACATTTCTGTTCACTTCTTTCGACTTGTTTCTCTGTTTTCAATATTCAATCCTATTGCAAACACTTAGATGATCTTTTGTTCTAGTTTGAGATGCCAATGCAGAAGTATGCTGAATTACAACCCTCTTTCTTTGGTTCTATTAGAATTCAGTATTCATATGCGAATCGACATAGGCTCCTTGATTAACCTAAATGATACTGTCCTTAGCCAATCCCACTAGTGGGAAAAAGGCTTGCTGTTGTATTGTACTATCCTTTTTTGATGCTCAACAGATAGTCATTTACCTGACTCTTGGTCTGGTGTTCAGGTACTGCCAATGCTACATGTGCCTATGATGTGTATTGCTTTGGAAAGGTTTTGCTTGAGCTTGTCACAGGCAAGCTTGGTATCAGTGCATCCAACGATGCTTCATCAAAAGATTGGTTGGAGCAGACGCTACCTTACATCAATATATATGACAAGGACGGAGTAACGAAAATTATAGACCCATCTTTAATAATAGATGAAGATCTACTAGAAGAAGTATGGGCAATGGCAGTTGTTGCTAAGTCTTGCCTTAACCCCAAGCCTGCAAGACGTCCCCTCATGAGATATATACTTAAAGCACTGGAAAATCCTCTAAAAGTTGTAAGGGAGGAGCACACTAGCTCAGCAAGGCTTCGGGCAACTTCTTCTAGAAGCTCATGGAATGCTGCTCTATTTGGCAGCTGGCGAAGCTCATCAGATGTAGCAAATGTACCAGTGGCACCTGCTAACAAATTGGAAGGCGGCAGTAGCTTTAAACAGTCGGGAACGACGGGTTCTCAGGGAAGTGGTCATAATGGTGACGGGGCTCATTCATCCTCAACCCGGCGGCACTCCAAGGAGATCTTTCCTGAACCAATGGAAGAATTGCCAGATGTAAACAGACCCATTGAGGATTAGGACAGGTGAATTTTGATATATTCTTTGTTAATAATAGAGGGAGGCTCTTCATTTGATGAGTCCCTTGCTTCTCAGTACAGCTGAACATTCCTCCTCCAAGTGGGGGTTCTAGGGCGCTGTCAAGCCAGTTTCTTCTAAACTTGGGGGTTTTGAAATGATGTACAGCTTCATTAGAGGTGAGTGGATGGTGAGATTTAAGGGAGTTGGCTTGTTTATTAGCAGGAAAGCAATACCAAAATTGCAAGGGTTTTGACTTTGAAAAGTTTTACTGGAGAGCGAGAGAGATAGTGAGAGACATACAGAGAAAGTTTAGCCCAGAAAAGAAAAAAAAAAGAAAATTCTTCTTCTTCCATTTGTTTTGAGCTTGTTTTTGTGGTGGAAACAAGCTACATTCTTTCTGTAATTGGTCTTCTTCTTGATTAGTCTTCTTGTGGAATGTAAATGAAAAAGGCTCCACCTCCTTCCAAAAGATGGAAGGTGTCAAAAGGCATTATTTTCTTCGTTATCATTTTTAGTAATATTTTTGGAATCGATTGTTCGTTTGTATCTTTCCTTTGAGTCCAGAAGAGTTGCTACATTGATAGAGATCCGTGAGCTAGAACGTGTGATCAAGCTTAGTGGAAAAATGTCGCACTAGTTAACCTACACCTGCTTGCTTCTTTATGATCCGCCTGTACTTCAGGGCGATATGCATGCCCATTAGGTTAACATGTTGCAGAAAAAGGAACCATTCTCTTTGCTCTCTGCACCATCCGCGTGATGAATTAACGTCTAGTTGTTCATTTATGTTGGTGCGGATGTTATACGAACCCAAAGAGTTTACACATGCTTTTGCCTTGTGGAGCATGTTAAAACACCAGGAAAAATTGAAGTCGTTATACCAACCCACCTTATCTCATTTTCTTTACTTAGTTGTCCGATATCTCATTTTGACAAGTAGCGAAGCATATAGCGAGCTAAATAAAATGGAGGAAAAAAAAAGGTGTAAGGGGTGCAAGAAATGAAGAAAAAAAAAAATTGTACTAAAGGTCCCACCGAGATTTGAACTCGGGTTACTGGATTCAGAGTCCAATGTCCTGACCACTAGACCATGGGACCTCGCTTGTGTACTTCTCACCCAGTTTACTTATTTATAATTAATAATCAATTTTCCATTTGGACCTTCAAAGACTGCGACTCCGGAGCAGCCCAGCCCAAGAAATCATTATTAGACTGGATGAGAATATTGACGCCAGGCTGATATTGTCAAATTGTCAATTCGGTCCCATTTCTTTTTTTTTTCCCCCCACTCTTTAGCAAGGTTACACACAGTATTCCTATTATTTTTGTGAATAAAAAATACAGTAAATTAACTATGTACATCTCTTCCTCCTGGAAAGGAAGCTCTCCTTCGTTCCAAAATTATTATTCAGATTAGATTCTCAGTTCCTATAAAAAACCTAACTCAATCCGGGCCTTCATCACACAGCTTGATTTTGGGCTGCATAAAGATTAAGGCTTTTTATATAAGTTGCAACACTTTCGGCCCGTTTTACATCCTTTCCCGCCTTATGAATCATTTCGGGTTTTACACGTTTACTTGGTCCTCCCTCCTCAATAAACATGGTTGATTAGGGACCCCAAGTCAAACTGCATGGTGATAAACTGATGAAGGAAGTCAGTGTTGGAGAAAAGACTCGGATCAGTTTCACACTTTGCCTTAACTTTCCAGTTCCAGCTTCCTTTTTTTTTTTTTTTGTTTCAAAATTTTGTGCTGTTTCTCTTTAATGTAAGTTGAATATTGATAATGTCAGCTGTTTATGACAACTGGGGCAGGTTGGTCGGAGCAGTCCTTCGCCGGGAGGATTTCCGGCAGAGTGCTCTAAGGACTCCCAGTGATGTTTCTCTAGCATCTTCCTTACCGTCGTCTTTGTCACCATCGTCCTCCTTTAATTTCATTTCTCCATCCGAAAATCACCGGGAATCCAAATTATCCTCTGTTGGGGAATCTTTCACTTACTCCCAAATTCTCCAAGTCACCAACAACTTCAGCACCGAAAATGGGCTCTCCGGTGATCTGTTCTACGGTGTTTTGGAAGGCGGAACCAAAGTAGTTGTTAAGAAGGTTGATTTATCTCCCCCACAGAATGATCAGTTTTCGGCCCAGCAGAAGATGTCATTCTTGAATTCAGAAATGGAATTCTACGCCAAAGTTTCGCACCCTAAATTTGTCCCATTACTGGGCTATTGCGTGGATGATTCGAATCACCACTTTTTGGTTTACAAATATATGCCCAACAAGGACTTGACCGCATGTTTTGACAAGGAAACTGACACTGCTGACTGCCCATCAACACTATTAGATTGGAGTTCGAGGTTGAAAGTTGCAAAAGGAATAGCACAAGCCTTGTTTCATTTACATCATGAATGTGTACCACCGCTTGTCCATAGGTATATATTATGTCATTCTGGTTCTTTTTTAATGTCAATTTTTTTTTTCTTTTTCCAATTTATAATTATTGAATGATGATGAAGGAATGTTGAAGCTGGTAGCATACTGATTGATGAGAACTACGATGGGTACCTTGGGAGGAATACTGAGGTTTGTACTCAGAAAAAAGACAGAAATCAAAGCAGAATTTCCAAATTGCTCCGCCTGCCCATGTAAGCCTATATTGTGATAGTGTATGCGCTTCAGCGTGTACTTTATTTTTAAAATGTTTCCTTTCTTTTGGGTAGAAAAAGGGGATTTCGACTTTAAATAAGTTACAATAGACAGGGAATACGAAACCCCCATAACATCATGTTGTAGCCATTGAATGACTCCAACAGGAGGGCTCGCTAGTGGTCGGAAACCTAGCCGACCCTGAGCTGCCAAGGATGCTAGAAAATCGGCTGTAAGATTTGCTTCCCTAAAAATATGCGTTAGCTCCACTTGCCAAGCTCTTGCCAAATATCATCTAAAAATGTTTCTGATAGGTAGTGTTTCAAAAGATTTTTTGCTGTCTTTAAGGCATAGTTTTACTTTGCAGCGTTTGTAGGAAACTCGTGGTAGCTACTGTGTAACTTGTCAGAATTTCCGTTGCATTTGGATGAATCCATTCCTCATTTAGATGACATTTGTGTTTTGACAATAACATGTTCCACATTCTTAGTAGTATTTTACAATGCATCCGAGTATTGTGTCTATCAAATTATAGCGTGCCCTAAACTTATCGTATACTGGTTCAAGCTATACTATTGAAGACCTTTTAACTACATTGCAATTTGCATCCTGTGTTTTCCAATGTTGATTTTGATGAGCAAATATGTTTTGTAACTATCTACCCCTCAATGCATACAGGGGTTCCAAGCAAGCTGCTTCTGGTGTGTGATCTTCAATTTCACTCTTTCTGAAATACCATTCTAGTTTCTTATTTATATAGTTTTGGTTGACCAGATGCAACATGCGCCTATGATGTTTATTGCTTCGGGAAGGTTTTGCTTCAGTTAGTCACAGGAATGCCAATTTTCACCAACAACAAGAATTCCAGGGCACCCAAACTGAGGGAAGACATCCTTCCATACATCACCACTTATGATAAGGACTTGTTTCTGAATGTTATGAATCCACCTTTAGCCATGGATGAGCACCTTTTAAATGAACTATGGGCAGTTGCTGTTGTTGCAAAAGCCTGTCTCAGTTCTACGCCTTCTAAGCGTCCTCTAATGAAAGATGTGCTCAAGGCCTTAGAAATCTCTAAAATGGAAGATTTCTCAGCTTCTGTAGGCTCTCCATCCAGCATAGGCCAGTTAACTCAAGTAGTTCCAGCCCTGGAAAAGACGAAAATCTCGGGGGGATCTGAATCAGGTGATTCGACTGCCTGAACCCAAAGTTATAGCCTTGCTGGTTCTGTTAATATTTCTAGCCATTGATGGTTTGGCAAACTGAACATTTTATTCTGTTCACGGAAACATGTTTCTTAAAATATTGTCAAGGTTGATAATGTTTTTGGATTTGTTTTTTGAACGTAATAGTTACCAACAGGATATCATCTTTGTGATAAATTTATTTGAATTTACGTTTAATACTCTTCTAAAGTGTAACTCGTTTAAGTGCATTTTGCAGCAGGTATGTCACAAATGACAACAGATGCCATGAACTGGACAAATTTACCGATCAGACAACATTTATCAGCCAGTATAAACGAGGAGGCTTATCGAAATGGTGAAATCTGGGCCAGTCCCAATTTGATAGTTTTTAGGTTTGCAGAACTAAAGACTGCCACTAAAAATTTCGCAAGTGATGGTTTGCTTGGAGAAGGTGGATTTGGAAAAGTATACAAAGGATATCTACCTAAGAAATATGCATCAAATAGTGACAGACAATCACTAATTGCAGTCAAAAGATTGAAGCCTGAGAGTTTGCAAGGATTCCAGGAGTGGCTGGTATCCCATTATTCCTATCAGATGTTTTGCATTGCTTTTGGACTGAATTGATACTTAATATATTCTTTCTAGATCACTAATATGAAATTTGGATTCTCAGCAAAATATTTCCTTTAACATTCTTAATTATATGTGCAGACTGTGATAACAATGCTCGGAAAGCGTTCTCACCCTAACTTCATTAAGCTCTACGGTTACTGTTTTGAAGATAAGGAGCTCCTACTTGTCTATGAATATATGCCCAGGGGTAGCTTGAACAACCACCTTTATGGAAGTGAGAATTTTACCATTCTTTCGCTAGATGTTAGGCACCATAGCAATAGCTATCAAGAAGTTCTGTAATTTTTTTGTGTCCGACTAAGTCGTCTGGTTTGTGGTCCACAGGGGGCTCTGTCATTCACCCACTCTCCTGGGACATCAGGCTTAAGATTCTAATTGGAGCCGCTCGAGCACTAGCGTATTTGCATGCATTAAAGAGAGAAATCATCTTTAGAGATTTCAAGGCTGCATCGATATTGCTTGATAGTGTAAGTCCGCTGTGCTTCTGCTTCCTGATTCAAGCTTATATGGTCTCGATAGTGTTTGAGCAATATAAGACTGTTTCTTGGCTACATCTCTGCATTTAGTAGAACCTGGAGGATTCTACTACTTGATCCAGTATTCTCTCTCTCTCTCTCTATTTCCCATCCATCAAATCATACATGCACGTGTGTTAACCAGTAAATTCGCTATTAATTGACAAGCTTTTCCTACAGAGACGCCTGATTCCTTCCTTGTCTTTTTTTTTGTTTTTGTTTTTGAACAGTCTTACAATGCCAAGTTATCAGATTTTGGCTTAGCTAAGACTGTTCCTCCGGAGCATGACACACATGTAACAACTCGCGTTATGGGAACATATGGCTATGCTGCTCCGGAGTATTTGGCAACAGGTACTGACAGTTTTAACTTGTTTGAGCTTTCATACTTGATGCGAGTATATTTCTCATCTCATCAGCATATATTAAGACACAATTTAAGAACATTTCTCATGTAACAGGACATTTATATGTCAAGAGCGACGTGTATGGTTTTGGTGTTGTAATGTTGGAAGTTCTTACTGGTTTACGGGCCTTGGATGTTAATCGCCCAAGTGGGCAGAACTTCTTGGCTGATTGGATTAAGCGTCACTTATCTGTCAGTAGGAAGATAAACACCATAATTGATTCACGATTACAAGGCAAATACCCTGCACAAGACGCGGTGAAAGTGGTTCAGCTAGCTCTGAAATGCCTGTCCTCTCAACCAAAGGCCAGACCCTCAATGAAAGAAGTTGTGCAAACACTAGAGCAGATTGAATCTTTTCGCTAGAAGAAAATAAAGCCAAGAACAAGTACCACAAGCCAGAACAGCCATCAGGTGAGGTGGAGATTGAATAGGATGTATCCAACTGTCTGCAGAATGGCTTTTCTTTCTTGCTGAAAGGAAATGCCCTTTTGTTTGAGCTTATTTTCCTGATCTGCTAAATCGTATAAATTGCTGTTGCAGTACCAGTTACCTGTAGACAAGGTATCCAAGTTAAGTTTGTATATGTATCGTGGTAATTTGCGAGTCCATGATGCTTCATCTGTATAGAGTATAGATCTCCCAAATTTGAAACTGCTTCAGAGAAAGTTCCCCTTATAGCTGCCCACCAAACAGAAAACAGCAGCCTGGTATTAGTTTGTTCATCCCTACGTATCTTGTATATCGAACTATTTGGGTTTTATAGACAGGAACATTATTATGAGATACTGGGAGCATCTTTTTTTCAGGTTTGACCTGTAGCTGCAGAAGTGTGAAAATTGGAGCTGAGGGCATCATTACTATTCATTTTCTGTTTTTTATGTGATCACTGATCAGTGTATCGGGTTCACAAGCAAACTGCAATAAACTGCCAATGTCTTGTTAAGTGTAAAAAAACCAGTTTGTGAGATTGATGTGTGTTCTTTAGGTCCTTAAAAAGTCTTTAAAACACCTAAGCTTAAAAAACCAGTTTTTTGGTCCCTTGAAAAAGAGATCTTTTTATTAGTTTTGAAATAATGGGAATAAAAAATGCTTGTTTTGATCGGCTACGGTATGCTTCTATTAACTTTTACAATATGTAAAAGTTACATATTATGTTACTCTCTGACCTTATTGAATTATGTTACTCTCTTACCTTTGGTATCATCTATAGTGTTACAATAATCAAAGAGTTACTAACTTTTGATTCTTTTGGAATTAAGTTTTTCGAAAACGGCTGTTACAGCTTATTGAACTCTCACCGGCCCGACAACATACGTGGCCACCTCTAAAATCTGGACCCTTACAATTCAGTCGATTAATATAAATATTTGTATTTCTCCAGAACAACGTGAAAATTCTTTGTATAACGGATTCCCTTTAGTATAATTTTATTTTATGTTTAACAATTAATTTTAGAGAAAGTATCAAAAAGTTGCTTCTTGTTTTCATTTGATACCAAATGTTTAAAAATAGATCATGCGCCACTAAAAAGTTAAAGAGCGTCACTAGTCAATTTTCTGTTAAGGTTCCGGTAAAAAAGTAACGGTCAACGCATTTTTCACGTGAAAGACATGTGTGTTGACCGAAGGGTATAATCGTCTTTTCATCCTTTAAAGACAGGAAGAGATTTCCATAAGATCATGATTGTCGTCACAAGTTGCCGAAGCATAAATCATGGGGTGGAAAAGTCAAGGACTCGAGGGACTAGTTGCTGCTGCTATAGATATTGGGAAAAACAACTTTCTCGCTCAAAGAGCCTAAACCCTCTTACATAACCTAAGGCATTGGTTTCGACAACTTCCTCAAATTGCACTGGATATGAACAAAACTATATATAATAACAAGGTAAAGTACTGTAGCATCTTCTTTGTTTCACAAATTCAGATTGGGGGAAGCATCTAGCTGCACGGCTAAGTCTGTCAAAACTAAAGAAACTGATGCCTTTTTCCCCTGAAGAACAAATTTTTTGAAAGGAGAATGTGTTGTGTTCCTATTTGATATTCCTAGCATTGCTATTTGAAAACCTAAAGCATCAATAAAAGAAGCCTAATGATTTCAAATTACAAAAAAAGAGAATCATGCCTGAACATTTGCAGTACGCATTTATTCTTCAAGAGTGTAGTTAATCAAGTCAGATTTTCCTGGTGCAGGATGTTGGGCAGTCAATTTTGGAAAGCTACTCAATGGTAACAGAAAGCTTGGCATTCAACGTCATGGCAAGGATCGATGACATCTTGTATATCGACGACCCCATTAGTCAGTAGTATCCGGGCAAGGGCCATTTCTCCAAGGAACAAAATCAGAGGAGCTTGGCAGCAGCATAAGACCGAGAAACTTTAACACCTGCGAATTTGGATAAATTGTTCTCTCATGCCGGAAGCCTCAGAGCTGGAAGATTTTCTGAAAATGCTGACTGATCAATGGCTGATGATCTTGTTTGGTTCCTTTTCTGTATTGTAAATCGGCTGTATAGCACAATTAGGGCTTATTTTCTGTTATGATTCAACTTTTAGGCCGTGACCAACGCCGAAAGATATCGCAGACGCCCCGGACGCCTGTATTTCTGCCTGCAGCCAGAAACATTGCTGCACTTGTTCAGGGACTGTCCGAAAACTAAGCAAATATGGAACTATATCAACAGGGACATTTGGCCCAGCTTTTGGACAGAAACCGACTGGTCCACATGGCTTTTATCTAACTTATCTCATTCTGATTTGCAGGATACCGACTGGTCCACATGGCTTTTATCTAACTTATCTCATTCTGATTTGCAGGATACACTTTGTTGGAAAACAACCTATGGAGTAGCTTGTTGGAAGATATGGACATCAAGAAATGAGGAAATTTTCGCGGACAGATATATCAATGCCAGGAGCTTGTACTTTTCCATCATGGCGGCAGTCAAGGAAATCGCCAAAATTAACTATCGCAAACCCTCCAAACCTGCTATTACCGCTGCTGTCACCACAGAGCCAAAAGGGAAGCCACCTATGTGGCAGTGGATCTGTATCAACACTGATGGAGCCGTCACCTCCACTTCAAAAAACGCTGCTGCAGGTTTATCCTTAGAACCGGGGTTACATATTTTGGCAACCAGCCCCCCTAATGTCTTAGATGCTCTAGCTTTTGACCGATCGTCTCTCCCTAGAGGCGTGTAATTGTTATTCTGAGCTTTCGCTCCCTCGGTATATATATAAAAAAGGTTATTGATGCAGTAGTAAAATTATGTGCCAAGAATTACAATACACCATTATGAGTATGAGGACGAACTATACAATATTGGTGAGTGTACGGAATTACAATGTACCATTCTGACTCTGCCTAGACAAACATGCTACAGGACAGTAGACAAAAATTTGCCAAAAAAAAAAAAATTCACCACCATTCCTGAGCCACTAATGAGTTGCCACATCTGACTTTAGACCAAAACCATATCGAAGATGCTTTAGTGATAGTGCGAAACAATAGTTGTTTTAAAGACCTCCCTAGCTATAATCTCACTAACATCATCATCACCAGTTTGTGCAGATTCCGGTTGTCCCCAAATCCGTTTCGACATCTCGTAGACAATGCTCTCCAGTGGATCCTCCGGTGCTTCGGTAGCAGCATGAAATTTTTCTTCCAAGTTCATGATTACGTCAGCAACGTAAGGGCGCGGGAGGTCCACTTCCAGGCGTGGGAAAACCTCCCGCCGGAGATAGCAGTAGAGCTTCAAGTCTGCCGGCGGGGGAACCACTCCACCGCCGGCGCGAGAGAAGGAGTAAAGACCATTCAATATTTCTAAAACCGTATTCGTCATCCCTTCAAATGCCGCGCAGCTACTGTTTTCTCCAGTTCCGGGCAGATACTGATTCAGGCCACCCATTTCTGATTCAACCTCCATGGAATCGTAACAGTAATTTTCAGAGCAACCGTCAAAACGATAACTTTCTTCTACATCAGGAACCTGAAGATTCCTCCACAGATCATGACACAAAGTGAATATAAGAGCCTGCGTGCGGTTCACAAAGTGAAATTCACCGTTACCCTGGATCAAATTAGCCATTGAAACGTAAAGATCCTTGATTTCTTGAACAGATTCGGCCAATTCCGACGGACTGAATTCTGCAAAAATACCTTCGTTCCTGACAAACTCGTACAATTCCAAGGACCAGATGTCCGGAGTATACCCATTTTCGTCGCGGAACTTCCGTATACACCAGAGAATCACAATTGAGCGTCGATTAGTCAAGTCATCTTCATCTTCTTGATCATCTTGGTCTGCATCTTGATGTTCATCATTATCACTCAGATAGAGTTCTTCATCATCATAAAGGGAGAAGTCAAAACGGGACCGTCGGGACAAGATTGCGAGACACATCTTCGGCGGCGGTGCGGCGGGATGAAGCTTTCAATTGGAAATCCGGTGATGCTCAGACGATCAATCAAAGATGTGGGGTTTGTAAGTTCAGAGTTCAGAGCAGTTAACAGAGGGAAAAGAAGACAATGTAATTAACTGCTTGAAATTGATTCATTTTGTGCAGTGAGTACGTTTATATACTCCGCAAATCTTTCTAGAATAAGTCTTTTGGCTCCCAGCAATTGAAGCACACAAATAGTATGCATCAGCGAAAACATTCCAAACTTCATGAATTGAGAATACAGAATCAATCTTAAGTGACTTGCTACCAGCATATACATCTTAAGTCAGTCAACTAACCCGGTTGACTTTACTACAGACCTATGAAAAAGTTTACGCCCAAATTTACATTTCCATCTGTTACAAAATTATTGTCCAGTTTGTATTTTTAGTTTTAATATAATTTGAATTAAAAATGAAAATTTAAACTACATACTAATTTTAGGACGGAGGGAGTAATAGAAATCAAATCTTAGACCTACCCTATCCAATATCACAATAAATTATTGTCACTTCAAATATCACAATATACTATCAACAAATGTCAACTTATGTGACAAATATCACTTCAAAACATGAATTGATTAATTACCAAACAACAAGATCACCAAATGTTGTGAGTATTATACTAAGCAATAGATTTTAACCTACATCAACTTGATCCTCAGTTTTGCTTGGTGGACCGAAAAAATCGACGTCAACGATTTTAATAATATATATATATATATATATATATATATATATATAATACATGAAGTGACTTTTACATTGATTCTTACAAATTAGCGCTACAAACCTAATAATACTCCGTAAAAAGAAAACTCCATAGTTAACGTTTTGAATTGGGTTTTTAGTCGCGCCGAGTTTTTATTCTGCTATAAAATCGACGATCGACTCAATTGCAAATCGAAGAAACGATATCAATTTCGAACCGCACACCTATTTTAATGTGGTTCTTAACAATCCGATACGATAATTTAGCATACGTTGTATGTGTTATATGTAGATACACATGTGAACCATTCGGCATGTGTTATATGTACGGGTATAGAAATTTGTTCTCTTATAACAATTATATTAAAAATTTATGAAAATATTCAATAAAATTATATATGTCAAAATGAGTTTATTTATTAACGAATAATAAAATCATCAACAAAAATGGGAATCCTATTATTATATATATTAAAAGGAAGAAAGAAAATCGACACGTGTCGCTCATTGAGACCATCAAGTCTCAATTAACACGTGTCATTTGCTAATTAGTTAATCATTAATTAGTTAAAATTTTTTGTAAACAGTTAATAAATTATTTACTACTCTCTCCGTCGCACAAAAATAATCCAATTTAATAAAAAATATTGTCCTAAAAAAATAGTCCAGTTTAACAAAAGTCAAAATTCATTGAATTGAAATGACTTAAATAACCAAAATAGTAGTGGTATGAAAAACAAGGTCCACTTCCTTTGATTTTCATTTTTTTTAGTTTTCTTTTATTTTTTCAAATGATTATATCTTTTAATACATGAATAATTAAAAAAATGCGTTATATATCAAATTAATCTACGTAACAAGATCTTTCCATCAAGATTCATTGTTAATATTTTTTGAGATAAAAATTTTGATCAAATTTAAGTTGTAAAATAAATTCACATGTAATTAACTTTTATAGAAATAACTAGAAGGGGGCATTAGTGGAAGTTAGGGGAATGAAATGAGTCGTACATTTGGTGTGTTGACCAAATTTAAAAAGTTGCACAGTTTCAAACTGGACTATTTTTTGGGACGGAGGGAGTATATAAGATTTTTACAGATATTATAAATTCATGATTCTGAACTTGAAAATGAATATTTTTGCAAATTGCTGAGAAACTCCCGACTTCAAAAGTCCTTTCATTTACGAGTTTAAACTTTCAACTTATTGTCATTTTAGTCCTTAAAGTTCTATTTATGTGCTATTTAGTCTTCAAGTTTATCGATTTTACATTTTCAAGGACGATTAATTGTGTCTAATCCCTAAAGTCCCCTTACCTATAAATAAGCTATAGACATCTAGACGTAATTTGTGCATTTTTTAAATATATTTTTTTATCTAAACATATTATTAGTTAGTGGTGATAATTTTTATTATACAGCATTTCAAAAATTTTTTGTAATATTTTTTGCTAGATCTTACAAATATACATCTCATAAATAATATCAATACCTCTCATTTTGATCTAAAATTGATTAATCAAAACTATATTACATTTTTAAGAAATATTAGTAATTACATTATATAATTAATTATTTTGAAAGATAAATTTTCAACATTGACAAACCCGCGCAAAGCGCGGGACACATACTAGTATACAATATAGACAAATGATCATCAGTTCAAATCATTACAAGTGGTATAAAAAAATCTTTATCACACAATTTGTAAAGAATATGTTTTTCTCCCTAAAAAGTTAAAAAAAAACCTAATTCTCCTGATTAATCTCATACTGCATCGATAAGGTAACATTTACTCCATCTGTCCCGAAATTATTATCCAGTTTGAACTTTCAGTTTTAGTTCAAATTTTATTAAATGAAATTTCAAACTGAACAATGATTTTATGATAGGAGAAGTATTTTTTTTCAGTTACTTTATCTTTTTCATTTGGTTGGATTCACTTTCACATAATCATATTATATATATATATATCTATATATATATATATTAAAGGAAAGAAAAATAATCGACATATGTCGCTCATTCAGGTCATCAATAGCTTCGGTGACACGTGTCATTATCTCATTAAATGGTCATTAATGAGTAAAAAAATTTATGGTATCTTAGTTATTTTATTAGATTACTTTTTGTTATTTACCTTGCTGTAATCCGCTAAATTACTTTTTAAGAATATTTACTTAGATTACTGATTATTGAATATTACTAATTAACCTCAACTTAATATAACAAAAACAAAAATATGCTTTGTCGATAGACGGATTGCCGGGTGAAATCGTCCTCCCACATAATGGATTCCTTCATCCGAATATAGATATTGATGTAGTGATGGGTGTGGTGCATGGTCGTTTGCTGATGGATGATGTTTGCGTGGTGTGGTGCGTGAGGAGGGTTTGATGGACGGTGATGATGATGATGGGGCTGATGATAGAGGATGATGGATGTTGTGATGGGAGAAAAAGTAAAATGTACCGCGGAAGAATAAGGTGCGGCAGAGGGGTTCCTTTTTGTGCTGGCCTGTAGTGATCGAGGAAGAGAAAAAAGGTGGAAGGCCGGCCGAGTTGAATTGTTGGGGAGAAGAAGATCAGCCCGACGGCAGGAAAGGAGGAAGGGTTGCGCCGGGAAAGAAGAGAAGCAAAAGAAGAACAGAGAAGCGTTCATCAGAAAATCTAATCCTGATTTAATGAAAGACACAAATTTAAAATTTAAAATAATAAAAAACTGGAAAAGATATGTGTATCAGAACAAATTACTCACGGAAGCTCTATTATTGAATCATTTAATTTTCAGAGTAAGGATTCCATGATTTCAGAGGAAGGATTCGATGATTTTTTGTTTTTGTTTTGTATTTTTTTTCCTTATTTTTCAATAATAGTAACTACACAAAGGAGAAATTTAGTAACTACACAAAATTTACTGCAAATTTTGATTGTTTTAATTTTCTGTAGAATAGACTTTAACTAATCGGTTCTGCTTTGAAATTTAAACTTCAAAAATAAAAAGATGAAAAAGATTTGACATATTCCGTCATAATTAAGTTTACAATAAATTATTGATAACATTTATATATTTTATATATTTTTATATATTTTTGTGTTGGTTTGACACCCATAAGTAGATTCCATTACCAGCTACCTATGCCTCCAGTCCCGCTCTGCAGAAGGGCCCAGTTAGGGGTATCTCACCCAATTATATTTCAAGAGAAAATTCCTTTTGTGAAAACTTCCAAACCTCCCTATATGCGGTAGATAATTGGAGTTTCTTATTTTTCTTTTGATTTGGTTTTATTTTTACAAAACATAAAGATTGAGTATCTATTTGTCTGCAGGGTTTGATTTCTTCCGATTAAATTTAGTGCTGGTTTTGACGCGTAGATTCGCCCGAAAGCAAGGTTAGGGACTAGAATACTGGCTTCCGTAGCAAATTATGATTACATTGTGGTTTGGAGTTTGTAAACATGTGCGTGGTTTTTAAAGTTCTCATTTGCAACAGAAAGGATGTTTTCTAAATCGTAAGACCAACGATGTATACAAGAAAGTATTTTACGTAAATATGCAGTAGTTCATTGATGTTTATTTTATTTCATTTAATAAAATAAATATGTGAGCATTTTTTTTTTTATGTAAAAAGCACCTACTACTAATACTGTGTGTTTTGTTGAATCCAGTGTTGTCAGACCGGGATTTAAAACCGGACCGGTGTCAGTAGGGGGTCACTGGATTAACCCCGTTAGTCCGAAACAAAAAAACTGGATAATGTTATCAAGATGTCAAAAATATATATTTATGTAAATATATAAATAATAATATAAAATATTTATTAAGTAAAAAAATCAAGTTAAAAAAAATCACAAAGGAATGAATAGTTGAATTCTACTGCTGATTTACTACTATTACTACTTAATAGTACACAAAAGAGAGAAAAAAACAAACTAAAAGAGCACAAAAAATTTTCACAAAAAGAAAACAATTGGATGATGGGGATTGGAGTTGGGGGTGGTGTCAGGTGTTGGGAAGCAAACCAGAAAAACAGGAAAAAAATATACATTTTTTGGCGGATAAAGTAAAAAAATAATAATAATAAAAATAAAACCCAATTAACCGGTTCGTACCGGTTCACGGTCTAATCGTCGGTCTTGATCGAATTTGATCGGTTAACTACTGTAGCGGGTCTTGCCTCTGATCGGACCATTATATATAGTGGTTCGGGGTTGAACCGGTCGGACTAATCGGTTCGGTTCAAGTCTGACAACACTGGTAGAATTTGTAGAGTTTTTTTTTTGTATAAATAATCTTCAATAATATATATCAACTATTTATATTGTGACCTTTTAAGGATAATTGATTTCATTACAATTTGATTATCATAATAATATCTACAACCCACCGTAAAACGAGATATATACTAGTATATATAATTATATACAGCTCTTTGTACATACTATATCTAAAATGAACTTATATAAAACTATATATGAACATTTTATGATTTTTAACATATTATGTATTGTTATATTGTCTAATCACTTTGGAAAATAGAATTTTAAATAATAATATGCCGCGCATCGCGGAGCATACTGCTAGTAGAATAATATAATGAATTCAATCCTTTTTCGAATTGATTGTCTATTTTGACGAATGGACGAGAAAGTTGGCACCGATAATTTATTTTTTAAAAAATGCAACGACATTTCGATGATTAAACCAATAGTTTGAAGCAACAAACCGTTCAATATATAGTCAAAAAAAAAAGCAGCAATGGTTAATGTTTTTTGTTTCTATTTGCCCGCGTTTTTATTTGGTTTATGAAAAACATACAAATACAATAAGTCGCAATTGCAATAAACTATATCAACTATAGTTTCCTTCCATTCGCACGGGTTGGGCCTTATGGTTAGAAACAATACACATATAATCATAAAAGAAGAATGTTTTTTTCTTTTTTAATGAAAAAAAAAGGCCCTACTCGCCAGTTCATGCAAAGAAATTACAACTTTTGATTTATAAAATTCTCAAGAATTACAATTTTTGGTTTATAAATTATAAATAATGTAAATTTCACTTCTTCATGGAAAAAGACCTAGATCCTTGTTTAATTTTGGTGTCATGAGTTCGGTAAGCCAACATTCCATAATACATCCAAAATAATACGTAATAATAATGAAAAACCCACTCAGGTGAAGCAAAAATTTTCTCCCGATCGGCTTCTGCAGCATCATTGGAAACGTTGACAACTGACCTAAAAGATTCTTTTTCATGTATAAATATAATTAATCTTGAGAATAACGTAACATTTTAGAGTTTTATTTCTAAAAAATAAAAAAAAATCACACCAGATGACGTAAATATAAATCAAGACAGTAAAACAAAGAATGTTACGGTAATGAAAAGGAGATTACTTATTCTTGATTTAGACAAAATCTAAGTGAATTGGCTAGGGTATGATCCTCATCTGTCAACGAAAATGTTGCATTTGCTGGATCCTTTTCCGAACCGTGCTCCATAATCCATTTAGTACTGCAAGACAAATTACATTTTTTAATTCATCACAGTATAGAGAAAATTAGACGTGGGAATACAAATTCAATACGGATTGCAACATAATTCTTTTGCCTCCCAGGAATAGGAATTAAATCCATCCTTTAAATATTCAGGCTCAGACACAATTTATTATACTTTTCTCATAATTCATTAAACCATACCGCCTGATTCTCTCAGTTTTCGGTGTGATTCAATATTTGATTTCAACAATTCCGAAACCCTAATTTGAAGAGCTTCTTCGGCCAATTTCTCTCATCCAAGATGGTTTTAGCAGAGTTAGGTTCGAGACTGTCGCGAGCTCTTCAGAAGATGAGCAACGCGACAATCGTGGACAAAAAAGTCCTGGCCGATTGCCTGAACGAAATCACAAGGGCTCTCCTTCAATCTGATGTTCAATTCAAGCTCGTCTCCGAGATGCAATCAAACATCACGAACATTGTCAATCTAGATGAGCTCGCCGCCGGCCATAACAAGCGTAAAATCATCCAGCAAGCTGTATTTAAGGAGCTCTGCAAGATGTTGGATCCGGGAAAACCCGCATTCGCCCCGAAGAAAGGCAAAACCGGAGTCGTAATGTTCGTCGGGTTGCAAGGATCCGGTAAGACGACGACGTGCACAAAGTACGCGTCTTACCACCAGAAGAAAGGTTGGAAACCTGCATTGGTTTGCGCGGATACCTTCCGGGCGGGTGCTTTTGATCAGCTGAAGCAGAACGCCACGAAAGCGAAAATCCCGTTTTTCGGGAGCTATACAGAGTCGGATCCGGTTAAGATTGCGGCTGAAGGCGTGGAGAGGTTTAAGAAAGAAAGCTGTGACCTTATCATTGTTGATACGAGTGGCCGCCACAGACAGGAAGCGTCTCTTTTTGAAGAGATGCGTCAGGTCTGTGAGGCCACGGGCCCGGATCTTGTCATATTTGTCGTGGACAGTAGCATTGGTCAGGCCGCTTTCGATCAGGCTCGAGCTTTCAAAGACAGCGTAGCAGTCGGGGCCGTGATCGTTACGAAGATGGATGGCCACGCCAGGGGAGGCGGCGCGCTCAGCGCAGTGGCAGCCACGAAAAGTCCGGTCATATTCATCGGTACAGGAGAGCACATGGACGAGTTTGAGGTTTTTGAGGTCAAGCCTTTTGTGAGTCGACTGTTAGGGATGGGGGATTTGTCTGGTTTCATGGATAAAATCCAGCAAGTTGTCTCGACGGATGAAATCAATCCAGCTGAGCTGCTTCAACAAATTTCACAAGGAAGTATCACGTTGAGGTTTATGTATGAGCTGCATCAGAGCCAGCTTAAAATGGGTCCAATGGGACAGGTTTTCTCAATGCTCCCAGGATTCAACAACTCAGAATTGTTGATGACTAAAGGCCATGAGAAAGAAAGCCAGGCCAAGATGAAACGTCAGATGATTATGATGGACTCTATGACTAAAGAAGAATTGGATAGCACCAACCCTACTAAGTTGATCACCGAATCGCGGGTAAAGAGGATCGCAAGGGGGTCTGGTCGTCAGGTGAGTGATGTGATGGAATTGCTCGAAGACTACAAGCGTATGGCAAAGATGTGCACCAACGTGAAGAAGGGACTCAAGCTTCCCAAGAAGGGTGGTTTGGATGCCCTACCTCGGAATATGAATTTTCAGAATCTGAGCAAAGCTCTTCCACCTCAGGCGCTGCAGCAGATGGGCGGCAACGGAGGAATACAAGACTTAATGAAGCAGGTGGGCAACATGGGTTTTGCTAAGGATCTGTTGAGTATGTTTGGAGGCAAGCATAAGTGAAGTATATGTAACCAAACTTCTTAATAGATTCCTTCTTCAGTATACAGTAACAGTATAGAGAATTGTTCTTTCTTTATCTAGTTCTTAATGAATTAATTTGCTAGAGATATTTCTCTTTTGTCTGAATCAACTTTGAACAAATACAAGCATCACTTCAAATATGTTGGTGAGTGTCCTTTATGCTATCAAGAATATACAACTTATTTATTAGTATGAGTAGCTTTATAGATATGAATCCCGGAAAAAAAAAAAAAAAACATGTTGCATGTATTTGAACGTCATGTTAAAATTTACCATGTGATTTTCTTCTTTCTTCTTGCCATTCCGTATCATTTATTTTTATTAGTTCAGATTAACCACAGCAAGCGAACACTAAATCCACGGATGTTGCATATAGATCTCTAGCATAAGGTGATATAGCATTTTCAAGCACACTCTCCATTCCCAACTCATTTTTCAAACAAATAAAAATAAATACAATACATGAATTTGGCTTTCGAATTGCATCGGAATTTCAACAGAAAAATAAGCAAGGAAACATACCAGGAATCGGAATTCGTAACCACTTATAACATTATTTACAATTGAGATTGCCGCGAGCTGTTGCGTATTAGTGCTACTGATACACGCCCAGATCAATCAATTATAACACAAATAATTATCAAGCGGGAAGTAAATAAAACACTTCACAAATAAACACAACAAACCAAAATACCAAAGTATTTATATTAATAAAGAACGCAAACACACAATATGTACAACTAAGGCTAAAAGAGGAGGTTACTTGCCTTGACTAAAAATGAAACCAAACTACTCCATTTATACTAGATTAGGTCGGTTGACATAGTTAATTAATTGGGAAAATTAGATTAGGTCGGTTGACATAGTTAATTAATTGGGAAAATTTTCGTCAAGGGCATAAAAAGAATCTTAGTATATATCCTACTATATTAGAAATAAAAACTCCTATTTCAAACATCTCTTATAATTGCCACGTGGCATGAGTAAAGTACTAAATTACCCTTTTGTCTAACCATAACTAAATTACTAAATTCCCTTTACACTTTACGTGACACGTTTTTTTTTAAATTTTTTCTTTATGTTTCATTCAATTAGAGTGGTTTTCTTTTCTTAATTATGGAGTCTAAATTGAATTGATCAATTAAGTTTTTATTGCAAAGTGTCAATTTTATTTTAAGCGTATACCCTTCGGATGCAACTTATTACAAAGCTATTAAAAATCTCTAAAACTAAATATTGATTTGGCACGACCAATGGTAGACACGGACTTGGATTCTCGAGATTGCATTATGCTTTGATCTTCCGTTCTAATTTCAATTGGTACTATAATATGTTGATTTTAATTGAGTTTTTTCTTTTTTTTTTGGTTTTGGATTAGAGATTATCTTCTTGATTAATACACATTTACGTTTCTATTGTTTTACATTCCCAATAAAATCTTAATTTAGTATACTTTATTTGATTTTTATTTTTTTGTTTTGTTGAGGTTGATCCTTTTCTTTCTTTCTTTTGTCTTTTTTGTTTTGTTGATTAGGAGCTTTTGTTTTTCATCCTTTTGATTTAGGTATCTTAGATAGTTCTAAATGTAATGCATTCTTTTGACATTTTTCAAAGCAAAAGAAGAAAAAAATCTATCCTGATCAATTTTCTCAATATGTTAGAACCAGTTGCCTCCTTTTCTTGGATACAGTTAAAATGACAAAATATTTCTACCACATGTTTAATGGCAGCCTTTCTACTTTACGATCAAGGTGAAATGCGGATGCCTGAATTCCCTACTAATGATTTCAAACAAAACAGTTTTTAGAGTGGTTTCAATAGTGCCCGTGAGCACCTGAAATTACTGAAGCAACATGAACTGCTCGGATTTGCTCTTTCATCAGCATATGAGCGACTAATCCATTCACTATGTTCAATTTAAAAATTTTAAAAACCCGCACAGGGCGAGGTAAGCATTAGTAATAATTATTAAAAGGGGCATGAATATCATTAACTCATTAACGTCAAGTTTAAATTATTTTTAAGATTTTCTTTATCTACAAAATTACTACTTTATCTTCTTTTCTCTCACCACCAACAAATGTTTTTCTTTTTAGGATCCATTCGTGTAAGCTTCCTGCAAATTTTTCTTTTCTTTTCAATATACATCTGAGTTTATATTTAATAACATGGTCTACTTAATTATTCTCTCTAATATTGAGGCATCTTCCAAACTACATCAAGCTTCAGAGCGCATCAACTTTCTCTTTACATGGGCCAAAGACAAGTTCTCTCATTCTATCAGCAACTGAGGTTCAAATAAGATGCCACGATGTAGAAATAGGCAAGTTAATTAATGTGTCATTGTGCTAGGGTTATTAATTTTGTTTGTGTTGTTTTAATTCCCAAACTTTAATAGAATACAAACCCATATTGTTTGGAAACCTTCGATCCTAGTTTGCCGCTCTTTTGTTCTTTTTTTTTTTTTTAGTTTTTATTTTTTATTGCTTGATTTCCAAATATGGCAAATTTGGAGGAAGCTGTACTCGGGAGAGGGGAAGTGGAGGAAGAAGATGATGAGTGGGTTGTTTCCAACTCTTACAGAAACTTCCACATATTTAGATTTCAGTACAGTTACCTACATTTGTAATCCTAAGTCCTCTTCTAATGTCAGAAAGTAAAACCAGCCATCGATAAAATTCTTTCTTCAAAATATCTTATACTCTCTCGACCCAAAATTATTGTCCGTTTCGATATTTCAATCTAAGTACAAAATTGAACTAAAAATGAATAATTTAGGGACGGAGGGAGTAACTGATGCATTTTAGGCCAGAGAAGCGAAGCCAGTATCCAGGAAGTATCCAAATAGGAAAAGCACAAAGACCCCAAAGTCAATGTGACATGCTGCATGAAAATGAACCAGTCAATTTGGGAAAAAGACTCGCTCATTCCCCACTCTCAGTCAACACTTGGATCATTTCCGGCGGCCTCCAACCCAATCAACATTCACATTATCATGGTTCTCTGTTAGCATTAGCACCTTTTTTAAACCAACTGTCCTCATACCCAAGGAAGTACTCCTTGATCCTGCTTTTTTACGTTGTTAGTTGGTCGGAAATGCCAGCCGTTTATGACAATTGGGATAGGTTGGTCCGAGCCGTTCTTCGCCGGGAGGACTACCTGGAGATTGCTTTAAGGGCTCCCAGTGATCTTTCTCAAGCATCATCATCATTTTCATCATTGTCAGCATCATCCTCTTTTAATTTCATTTCTCCATCTGATGATTACCAAGTTCCCTCACTGGACTTCTCCAAATTATCCTCTGTTGGGGATCCTCTTACTTTCCGCCAAATTGTCCAAGCCACTGACTACTTGAGTAGCTCCAATCTCATCAAGAATGGCCGCTTTGGTGATCTCTTTTATGGTGTTTTAGAAGGCGGAATCCAAGTTGTTGTTCAGAAGCTTGATTTGTCATCACCTCAAAAAGTGTCATTCTTGAAGTCAGAGATTGAATTCTTCTCTAATCATTCCCATCCTAGATTTGTCCCTTTACTGGGGCATTGCTTGGAGAATTGGAGTCACAAGTTTCTGGTCTACAAATACATGCCCAACAAGGACTTGTTCACATGTTTATTCAAGAAAACTGAGAGTGCCGCCAACAGCCCTTCCACAATGTTAGATTGGAAAAGCAGGTTGAAGGTTGCCACTGGAGTTGCACAGGCCTTGTGTTATTTACATCATGAATGTGTGCCACCCCTAGTTCACAGGTATATATATATCCTCCTCTGCTTTCTTCACTGATATGTCATTGTGATTCGTCTGCCCTTTTATATTAAGTTCGTCTCACCTCTAATTACTCCAACTGTTGGATGATGGGTTTTGCTTGAAGAAATGTGAAAGCTAGCAGTATATTGATCGATGAGAACTACGATGGCTACATAGGGAGTTTTGCGGAGGTCTGTGCTGATAATAAAGACAGAAATCGGAGAAAAATTTCCAAAATACTCCGTTTGCCCAAGTAAGCCTATAATATTGTGTACTGTCTGTGTTATGGTGTTTACTTGATTCTATCTCCCACAATATGTTTCTGATAAACTGGTGTTATAGAAGATTTGTTGCTAGTTTAAATGCCTAGCTGCACTTTATTGGACACAAAATGCACCCTTGGTAGGAAGGAACTTATGGTAGCTGCTTCAGTCATTATTAGAGTGATGAGTTGCATTGGCGTAGTCATGTTTCCTGGATATGACATTTGAGAATTCCATGTTTAATATTCTGAAATTTGAACTGGGGGAGGACATCAGATTTACAAATTTACCTTGGAGTTGCTTGATCTTCTGATGTTACTGTAATAGTGTGTGCCGTTTACATGAATGAAAATTCAACTTTCATTTTCTTTGTCTACAAAGCAATATAGTGCCCTAGACCAGTACTTTTAAGTATTCTGGTTGAAGATGTACTATATAATATGCCATTAGATTCCTCTATATTCCTGTTTTTCTAATGTTGATTATATGCAACAAAAATTGGTGACTCAGTACTATTTCCATTACGTGTACAGGGGTTCTGAGCAAGGTGCTTCTGGTATGTGAAACAAATTTCATTGTCATTGCATCTAATCTTTCAGTTTCATACTTTCTGACACTAAGTTGCTCGAAGATTAGAGTATTACCTGCCAGTGTCTTTTGTAATCTTTTGGAAAACATTAGGCACCATCCGTTACACGGCAGAGCAGGATAGCTTGTTTTTCTTTCTCTTTCTTCTCCTTTCTCTTTTAAATAATTCGGTAGAAATTTCCTAGATATTTTTCTAAAAGTTGGATAGTGTGGAAGAAAAGAATTGCCCATGATAATCTACAGAATTAAAACAATTCAAGATATTGGCAATTACCATGTTATGCAGCAGTATCACCATCCATTTTCAGCTTCTGGTTTACTTTTACTGTCACGTTATTGCACTTTGATGATTTTAGTATATGAGATGATTTTAGTATATGATTCAGGTGCATATCATGTTTACTCTAGTTTTGGTTGATCAGATGTTTATTCCTTTGGCAAGATTTTGCTTCAGCTAGTCACAGGTGTTCCATTATTTAGCAACAAAACCAATTCCAGAGCACCCAGATTGATGGAAGACATCCTCCCTTGCATCACTACTTACAATAAGGAACTGTTTCTGAATATTATGGATCCATCTTTATCCATGGAGGAGCATCTTGTAAATGATGTATGGGCAGTTGCTGTTGTAGCAAAGGCCTGTCTCAGTCCTAATGCTTCTAAACGCCCTCTAATGAAAAATGTAGTCAAGGCCTTAGAAGACTCCAAATCTGAAGAGTTAATTCAAATAGCTACAACCCCAAGAATGATGATTCTCCCAGATGAATCTGAATCAGGTAAGTTGTATACAGCTACGGTCCGCCCAACTTTATAGCCACACTCTATTAGTTAATACATAGTATTTCCTATAGGTGATTACTTGTCTAAGTGAACATGTGGTAATCTCTTATACACATGTTCAACACACTCTCTAAAGGTAGTTTATTTGCTATGTTGAAAAATGAACAACGCTGTAACATGCTATCCATTTATTCTTTTCTTTCTGAACCGAAACTGATATATGTTTGGGTGAATGTTGTGGCAGGTATGCCCCAAGTGACACCAAATGAAATCTATGTGGATAGCTGGACTGATTTATGGAATGGCCAGAGTTCATCAGCAACTCAAATCGAGGAGGCTTATCGAAATATTGAAACCGAGGCCAGCCCAACCTTGAGGGTTTTTAGTGTTGAAGAACTAAGGGCTGCAACTAAAAATTTCAGAAGTGATAGTTTGGTAGGCGTAGGTGGATTCGGACGAGTATACAAAGGACAACTTGCTAAGAAATCTGTATCAAATAGTGACAGACTGAAAAACCTACTTCCTTCTCGATGGTACACTATTGTGAAATTGGAAGCTCACCGGACATTCCCTTACACAAAGTTTTATACACAGAATGACCTCACAATGCTTGGAAAGCTGTCTCACCCTAACCTCATCAAGCTCCACGGTTACTGCTCTGAGGATAAAGAGCTACTCCTTGTCTATGAATATATGCCTAAGCATAATAGCTTGAGCAATCACCTTTTTAGAGGTGAGGCTTCGAACAATCTTTATCGTAGGGATCTATCATGATTGATTATCATGAGTGGTTGTCAATTCCTACTCTCCATTTGTTAAACAACTTACCAGTGCCTCGAATGTTGCAGCAGAAGGTTCCTCCATTCAGCCACTTTCTTGGGACATAAGGCTTAAGGTTTTAACTGGAGCCGCTAGGGGACTGGCATTCTTGCATGCATCTGAGGGCGAAGTAGTTTTCAGGGATTTCAAGAGTTCATCCGTATTGCTTGACAGTGTAAGTCACTATAAACTGAATACTGCCTTGAGAAGTAGCACTTTTTCCCCAGGTCAAGCTGGCGTAAACCGGGTAAATTTTTTAGTGAAGATAACATTAACAAATCATTTTTGGTTCACAGTCTTACAATGTCAAGTTATCAGAATTCGCCTTTGCTGGGATGGGACCTCCAGCGAATGACACACACGTAACAACAAGAACTGTTGGAACATATGGATATGCTTCTCCAGAGTATATGAAAACAGGTAATGAAACTTTCCTTGAGCTTCTGCAATTGGCTGTGTCTAAACTCCAAGCCTAATTCTCATGTCATTGGGGACTTTTGAGATCCAACTTAAGAATACTTCTCATGTGACAGGACACACAAATGTAAAGAGTGACGTGTATGGTTTTGGTGTTGTAATGGTGGAAGTTCTTAGTGGTTTACGGGCTTTTGAGGTGACTCGTGCGAAAGGGCAACAGAACTTGGTCGATTGGTTCAGGCCTCTTTTATCTGACAGAGGAAAGATAAAGACCATAATGGATTCAAGATTGGAGGGCAAATATTGTCAAGAAGCCACAGTGGTAGTGGCTCAGCTTGCTCAGACATGCCTTTCTTATATACCAAATGCCAGGCCCTCAATGCAACAAGTTTTGGAAACACTGGAACGCATTGAATCTTTTCAAGAAAAAGAACAATACCGAGGCCAAACACGAATGAACTCACTGGATCATTTCTTCTTGCCTACACACACGCTACTTGAGCAATTTTTTCTGCTTGAACTGGAAATTGCAACTCTTAATTTCAGCAACAAAAACGTTATTGGCAGGGGTGGTTTTGGTAAGGTTTACAAAGGACGGCTAGCAGATGGATCTCTGGTGGCAGTTAAAAGGCTTAAGGAGGAACGTACCCTAGGTGGAGAGTTACAGTTTCAAATAGAACTGGAGATGGGCAACATGGCTATTCACCAAAATCTACTTCGTTTACGGGGCTTTTGCGTGACATCAACAGAACGACTGCTTGTTTATCCATTCATGGCCAATTTAAGCGTGTCATCATGCTTGCGAGGTACTGGCTATGTGAATTTTGTTTAGCAATCGTTCATTTCCTTTGTTAAATTCATGGATCTTTGATTTACTGGAAACCTTTTGACGTCTGTTGCTAGAAGTAAACATTAGGCTGCTCATCATAATAACATTTTGGTGATTAATGTGAAGTTGTTTTTTTAAAACAATCTAGAAATGATAAAACTTAAAAGTAGTCAATGTGAAAGATGTATACTTTCTGCCCGAACTTGTCAACAAGAAGCCCGCCTTTATCCCACTCATGGGTGCTGAATCTTGTCATAAGCAACTCAATTGAAAAATAAATCTAGAAGACATAGAAGAGATTGAACTAAATTTTCATTATTTGTCGACTTCTTTAAAAGGTGGTGCGGTCTTATCTCTGAAACTTGAGATATGGAAATGGTTCGAATGCTAACTCTTGAATAATTCTTGTAGAGCGCCCTGAAACTCAACCGCCTCTTGATTGGCCAATAAGGAGGCGGATTGCATTGGATGTTGCTAGGGGTCTAGCTTATCTGCATGAGTGTAATCCCAGAATCATTCACCGGGATGTAAAAGCTGCCAATATATTTCTAAATGAAGAGTTTGAGGCAGTTGTTGGAGATTTTGGGTTGTCCAAACTCATGGACATCAATGACACTGATGTTTCATCTGATCGATGGGGTACCAATTATCATGTAGCTCCAATGTACAACGAGGGGGACTCTCATGTTACAACTGCTGTACGGGGTACAATTGGTCATATAGCTCCTGAGTACCTCTCCACTGGCAAAGCTTCAGTGAAAACTGATGTTTTTGGGTATGGGATCACACTTCTTGAGCTTCTCACGGGACAGAGGGCTTTTGATCTTGCTCGTCTCGCCAATGATGATGATGTCATGTTGCTTGATTGGGTAAGCATATATCTGACCAGCTGTGTTCAAGTAGAATTCATTTATATCTGAGCTTAAATATAAAGTCTGTCACATTATAATTGTATACAGGACAGACCGAATTTTGTATTTCTAAGTTAATCATTGTTGAAACCAGGTCAGAGGATTGTTTATGGGCAACCAGCTGGAAGCTTTATTGGATGGAGATCTTCAGGGAAATTATGTTGAGGATGAGGTGGAGCAACTGATTAAGCTAGCACTGCTGTGCACACAGAATTCACCTACTGACCGTCCCAAAATGTCAGAAGTTGTGAGAATGCTTGAAGGTGATGATGGTTTGGCTGAGAGGTGGGAGAAGTGGCAGGAGGAGCAGATGATACCGGAACAGGCATACCATGCAATCACTGATTGGACCATTGTTGATTCCACATCATTTCTCCCATCAGAGGAACTCTCCGGTGGCCCTAGATAACATGGTAGGAGAGTTGCAGCCTTCTGGTATTCAATAGGAGGCCAACCCCTTCCCTCTTCATTATTCCGTCCAAGATATTCGGTCTGTTGATCAATCTTTGTGTATATCTTTTCCTTTTTCCATTAACTTTGGCAAAAGTCTAAATGATATTCTGAATTTTTAATGGGTGATATTACGATAGATGTTTACACTTGACAGGTAACCAGCTGATATTTTGTGAGCTTTGGTTCGGAGGCTTTTGAGCAAAAGAAAACCAATCTTAGATCCTTGTTTCACTCTCGTATTTATGTAACATAATCCTACCATCTGACCAATTTTCCAGTTTCTCAAAGCACTTGATCAGACCGGTGTTGAAGACTTCAGGTCAAGTAATACTGGTATCCATCTTCTTAATTTGAACGCTCCAATATTTCTAACCTTTTTAATCAGCTAGCCAAGAAACAGAAAACAACATTAGCTATTTAGCTACTACATACGGATGATTTCAGCTATGGTTTTGGAGATCTAATACTAGGCGAAGCCTCACAGTCCTATCTTTCTTTTATTTATTTTAATATGGTGTCTCACATTGTTGGAAGGAAAGGTGATTTTGTGACTAGTCTAAGGTCATTTTTCCACATCGCTTCAAACAATGACATCATTTCAAACGTTTCTTACAAATCTTGTTCGAGAAAAAAAGAAACTTCTTTTCCGTAGTTCTGTCAAAGAATGAATCTCACTTGACATAAGTTCCTTATAAAATGACTTAGCAACTTCCCAAGATGACGCGTTCCGAGCTTGGGAAGTGACTAACCATCTCATTAGTCAACGTTAATACTTAATACTAATAAAAATCAAACAAGAGAAAGAATGGAAATGACTTCGAAGTCACGCCAAAAAACTGCCCCTTTCAAACAGCTGGTTCCAAAACCCAAACTACAATAAATGTTGTACTCCCTCCGCTCCGAAATTATTGTCCAATTTGAATTTTCATATTTTGTTCAAATTTTACTAAAAATAAAAATCCAAACTAGACAATAATTTTGGGACAGAGGGAGTACTATAAAAATGTTAGACCTCCTCCTCCTACGTACTACTTGTAAGCTAAGCTTCATTAGAATAAAAAAAAAACTATTCATTTGTTTGAGTCTTGTCAACACCGTGTATATCCAAACGCACACACACAATACACACGGTAGATAGATCCCTCTCCGTCAAAGATCCCAAAAATCAGAATCCTGTGAACATCATTATTACAACAGAATCTCGTATCATTTAGTTGATGATGATGGAGGAAGACTAATTACCAAAAGCACCCACCACTTCTAAACTCTGTTCGGGTCTCGGGACTTGCATGGAAATATGACTGGAATTGATGCAGTTACATCGTACTCAATGTCAAGGATTTACGAAAATTGGGATAGGCTAGTGGGAGCTACCCTGTGCCGGGAGGAACTCCGGCGCTTAAGTCTGATGACTCCCACTCCCAGTGAGCTCTCCTCTGTGTCATCATCATTCAGTTTCCCCGCTAGAGGTTTATCATTTGATTTCTCTGAGTTATTGGTTGGAAATTCGTTTACATACGACCAAATCCTTCAGGCCACAGATTCTTTGAGTCATTCCAATCTAATAAAAAAGGGTCATTCGGGTGATCTTTATATTGGTGTTTTCGAAGATGGAAGTAGAGCAGTAATCAAGAGAATTGATCTGTCATCGCAAGTGAACAGAGAACTGCACCTCCGTTTCATATCAGAGCTTGAGTTTATGCGCAAAGCATCGCATTCTAGATTGGTCCCTTTGATGGGGCATTGCTTGGAGAATGTGAATGTTAAGTTTCTGGTTTACAAGTACATGCCTAATAAGGACTTGTCCAGTTACCTGTCTACCAAAATCGTTCTGGACACTGTTGCAGAACGCCTCCAATTCTCGTCTTTAGATTGGATGACAAGGTTAAAAATTGCTATAGGAGCAGCAGAAGGTCTATGTTACTTGCATCATGAGTGCATCCCGCCAATTGTTCATAGGTAAATCTACTTCTTCCTTGTTTTTTCCCCCTTACAACGGCCTAAGTAGGTTGACTTCATCTGCTTTTCTTTCTTGACTTTGATTATTCTAGAGATTTTGAAGCTAGTAGCATTCTCCTGGATGAAAACTTCGAAGTAAGGATCGGAAGCCTTAGTGAGGTTTACAATGCTGTAGAAATGTTTCCGAAGAAAACAGGATTGCGAAATTCCTTCGGCTGTCCAAGTGAGCCTTTTTTTTTTTAATCTCTACATCTTCTTCATGAGCACCATTTCTCTGATGGCTTCGTTTTTACTTTTCTTAGTTTAATGTGTGCAGCGGAACAGGACGAGGCACTAAAGGTAGGTGACTTGATCCAGGTTTTCAATATAGATCTGCTTGAATCTTGCTAAACTGCTAAAGAGCAGAAGGGACTAATGCTAAATTTGTTCAATTCCAGGTAAAGCAAATGCTACATGTGCCCATGACGTTTCCTGCTTCGGCAAGGTTTTGCTACAGCTGGTCACTGGCAGACTCCTCCGACCGAGTGCCGCTCCCGGTGATTCCCCGGAGAATCCAGTTTCTCCGGTGAGTTCAACCAACCATTGGAAGGATTTACGGCTCCAAATCTACGATAAGGATCTGGTTCGCAGCATTTTAGACCCACCTTTAACAATGGAAGAAGATCGTTTTCTGGAAGTTTGGGCTATGGCTATTGTGGCCCTTGCCTGCCTTCATCCCAAGCCTTCTAGAAGGCCCCAAATGGCCCAGGTTCTAAAGTCCTTAAAGAATCGAAAAATTTCCCAGAGTTCTTATTATGAAATGGCAAGAACTATAGAAGCTCATAAAATATTCTTAGGACCTATAAGTCCTAAATTTTACAGATAAACACAATCCAGATGATCCTAAACTTTTTTATTTCAGGAGATCGCAAACTGCTTCTTCTCTACATTGTAAATTTTTAGTTAGTAAGATACTCATGAGATGATCTCATCCTGTTTTGTGCATTATTTGTAGTTTGTGCATATATATCTCCTATTTTCCTACTGTACATACATTCTGAAAACTTAATGAGGAAACCAGAGCTTTTTCTTTTCCTTTTTAAATGGCACCTGATAAATTGCATTATGTGTTACAGAACGTGCTCTCATTATGGCGATGTTATATGTCTCCTATAATCAGATATACTAATACAAATGTTAGAAAAAGAAAACTCATTGGTGTCTTTGCAAACAGGAAATCTAGCTTCGAATACTTGCCTAAGTAAATAAACTGCTATCTGCTGCTCCAGCTTGAGATTGACGGTAACATGATCGAATTTGCAGTCCTCTCCATCCTGCATATTTATTTAATGTTTCATATAGAAGGGGGTAAAGAAATGGTAAAAGACAAAAAGAAGTGGGGGAGAAAATTACTTTGAGATTTCATCAACTGCCCTCACCACTTCTGAAGAATTAGTTTCAAGAACTTGACCCCCCAGTATGATTTCGTCTAAAATTGTATGAACCTGAAAACGGATGTACGAGGTTACAAAATCATTTACATAAAGGCAACAGAAAAAGAACACAAGCATGGAACTAGCCACATAGAACAGTGATCTTGAGCCACGATAACAAATTCAAATTGCACATACAGTTTCATTTCTAACAGAAAGTTAAGGAATTCCAAACAAATACCAGTATCCTGAATGATGACTTATCAAAGAACATTCACAGTTTATAGGAAAGGGAAGAAACAATAATGTTGCTGTTCTAGAACCTGCATTTGGAAATCAATTTCATTCAATCATGCAGCCATCATAATCCCTCAGTAAGCCCTGGAACCTGATTCTCCTTTTATCATCAATTTTTTTGGCGTCAATCTCCTATCTAACCTACTAAATTCCAAAACGGGTCTAAAACTCCCGCCACCTATCCGCAAAGAATAGTTTTAATAAAGGACAATCATAAAACGGTGACTAAACCATCCAAACTGGCATGAAACAACTGTAACAGTAGAATATCAAAAGGACTAATCTTGTTAAAGAATACATATTCTGCATTTATAGAACCCCCATCTATCACAACAGAGAAAAAGTGGGATTTCAAACACTAACTGAAGATGAGAAGATGAGATTTACCTTATTAAAATTGAATACTATATCAAGCTCGCACACGTTATGAAAGCATTTGTCCAATGTTCCCACAAAAACTGAATGACGATCAACAGATTAAAATGAATACTAAAAATCAGTGAACAATACAATATCTTCAGGGGAAAAGAAACAAAACACATATTCTACAAAGCTAGTAAGTCCTAGGTTTCCAGAAATTTCTCATTCACCTTACCAGTTTTTGTGGAAACTGTACATACAAAAAATGAAGAGAATTACTGAAAGTGAAGTGCATAAATGATTAACACAGAGCGGCAATGGAAGTTGGTCTCCAAAGAGGAGAATACTATCATGATGGTTTTGAAACAAATTTGCTTGATGTGGTAATCAGAATCTCCAATTTCCAGAATGGAGTTAAGAAATAACATTTTTCTGAATTTCTCGGACGTATCACCAGCCACAATTAATTCACAGTTGCTTGAAATGTAGAAGCATCAAAATATGATGTCCAAAGTTCATTCAGAGAGCAACGAGGTTATAGCATATCAACATACTCGCCAGTACAAATGCGAGACAAATGAAAGGGTTCCCTCAAGGAAACTAGAAAATAAATTTTAACATAACTATAATCGTGTTGCCAGTAGTGAAGCAGGGTCCTATGTTCATAGCTATCTAAAACTACTTCAGCAAGAATCAATTTAACTACACAATCTGACATATCAGGTCTTCCAAACTTCTAAATGCATATAAATAGATGACTAAAGATGCATATAGGTTCAAAGGACTATGTACCTTGCATAAGATCTAAAACAGCAAGCTCATTCTCAGAGCCATCAAACACAAACACAAAGTACAGCGTGGCGAACGTCTTGTACACAAGTCGCACATCCTGCGAAAAAACGCAAAACGAAAAGGCCCTTGAAAATGCCGATGAAGTCATAACTATTAAGGGAAAACTATCACGGTCAAGAACAGAGCTTACAGGTCCAAACAATGAATCCATTTTCACGAAGTTGCTCACGTTGTTGGCCCTACTGCGTAGAACTGCAAAGCCACAAAATCATCCCCGTTGAAGCATGTATAAAAGGATGTTAATATAACTGATGAGAAAACAAAAGAGGACGGGCCACACCACTATTGAACTTAACCATGGAGCAGAATAAACAGAAGAGAAGGATATATAACTGTCATGGTTTGAAGATAAGAAAATGGTAGAAAAAAATGGCTGGAGTGATACCACAATAAACAGTAACAATAGCTGGACTGATACAATATCCTCAACTTAAAAAAAAGGGGAAAAAAAAAAGAAGCTAAATCCGACATTTTTCTAGGTTCTTATACTCAGGTGGGAAACGAAAAACAAAAGATAAACCATTTGCAAACACAACCAATCAAAATGCTAAAAAATTGAGGCAAACCGACCTTCGTAAATGCTCCGAATCAATTCTTGCTGTTTCTCCACGGCCTGTGCTTATAAACATCAAAATTAATTAACAAGGATCGGCATTGAAGAATTTGATTAAGATAAGTGGAGAGGTGTAGTTTTGACTGACCTGAAAGGTGTAAAATTTGACAAGCCGGGGCTTCCCTTGGTCATTCATCACTATCACCGCTTTAATCATTGTCTCGAGAAATTCGATCGGAAATTTCGTGACTTAATGTCTCGGTAAAACAAAATCGGCTGCCGGAGAAATTCTCCGGCGTCGTTCTGTGACTCAAGTCGATTCGGAGCCCTTGATCTCGCCGTCTTTTAACTTTCTGTTATGTTTCTCAGTTGGGTGAACTGTCTAAACTCTGTCTTCTTTGAATACTTGAGTTTTAAATTCCTCCTCTACAAATATTGGAAATACATAAATACCCTAAATATTCTTAATATTATAATACATTACCCTTGGACTTTTTTACCATTTTGGCGTGGGGTTGGGGCACAATGAGTCTTATCTTAAGCCAGGTAAGACCAAAAAGCAGACTAGCAAGGAAACCAGGCCGGAATCCAAACCACCACCCCTAGGTGATACCATTCATCCGGAGCTATGCCTTGTCGCCCGGCTACGGGATCAAAATCTCTATCCATCCTTAATTAAAATATCAATAATCGAGATGCATGGAAAAGTTTCACCCAACTCTCAAGCCTCATCTCTGAATTCACAACTTATTGTGCATCATGTGGCCTCTTTTCCCTAAAACAATTCATCATAGTGGTACTTTTCATTGAATGCACTTATTGTTGAGTTTTCCGACTGAACTCGGGATTGGAACCAATCTCAAATCATCGTATTTTAATTAAAAGAGAAGAAGGAGATAGAGCTTCCATGTATAATTTATGTAAACAAAAGCCAAATGTTTGATTCAGACAAAGGATTTACTCAGACATTGTCTGAGTACTTCAAACTATAAATTAAAACAAACTTAAAGGAAAATATTACCTTTAAAGGCTTCTTCTATGCTTCAAACTTGTAAGATATATTTATTGAATGATGTTTTTACAAGGGAGAGAGAGAATTTCGGGATAAAGGGAGAAGAAATGAGAGAATACTTGGAGAGAATGCTACTCCCCACAAGAATTTCTACATTCTATTTATAGACAAAGTGCCTAACTACTATTCTACAAAAGTTAAAACTACTATTGTACAAAAATTATTAACTTTTGTCATTATTTGACATGGTTTTCTTCGATTTGATGAAGGTGGTGGTCTATTTGTACAAAAATTTCAAAAGTAGATTCCTACTTTTGTCAAAATTTCAAAAGTAGATTCCTACTTTTGTCACTTCATTCTTTTCTTTTCCTTTTCTTGATTGAGTGATTCTTGGATCTGTTGTAATGATTTTTGATGAATTTATCGTGATCGTCATCTTTTCTCGTGACTGAGATTCTCCGCCAATATTGCAAACGAATTTTCTTCATTTGAAGTTATGCTCTTCATCGAAACATCGATTTTTCGAAATATTATCATTGTCGAGATTCTTTAAATTTCTCATGAGATCTGCTTTAACTTCTTTCATATAGGCGATATTATTTATTCCTTATTAATTGCTCCTTCTTGAAGCTGAATCCGCTTTGTTATGTGTTTAAACGGACTTTCTTCATCCGGGTTTGCTTTAAGTCGTTCCTTTTCTTGAGTATATTCCTTGATTTTCTGGGCAATTTCGTCCAAGAAATCTTGTCCTTCTATTCTTTTGGTATTGTGATTCACCTTTGTTAATTTGTCCCAAAATTTGGTGTAATATGTCTTATAAAGACACGGAATTTGAAATTCATTGAATCCCACCTCGGGGACCCATTTATAAATCCAAGGAATTGAGAATTCAATAAAGAAATATAACAGAGTGATTTTCCTGGAGCACGATATGATGTGTTGAAGTTTATCAATGATAGGAGAGGATTTTAACCATTGATAATATAATTTCGAAAAATTATCGGCAAAATTTTTGTTTGTTGGGCCATATAATGCCCACCACCGAATAAACCAGTTGGGTATGGGAGAAGAATACACATGGGAGCATATTTTGATGAACCAAGTATGCTTTTTCCGGGTTTTCATAATAAAAGTTTTGTAAAAACTTTGGATATAATCCCATAAGTAAATTTCAAAGGAGGAGAAGTAGGAGTATTACGTACTTCTCTTTCGTAAAGGGTTGAAATTCCCATTCTTCGAAGATAAAATCTTTTTAATAATAATTTTGAGAAGTTATAAACTTCGATTGTAGTCGATTAGACTGGAAATGTGTTATTTCACATGTTTGTTTGAGAATATTCTCATAATAATTTCGGGTTTGTATGACTCACCCGGTATCGTTACCCTTTCGCTAGATATCTCCGGAATATTACCCATGGATCTTCTTTCCACCGAATATCGCGTTTTCAAGAAGGAATATTACCTCCTTTGTGGATCCTTTTTCATATGACCGGATATCATCCTCAGTCAAGATATCACTTACTTTGGCAAAGAAAGGTATCACTTTGTTGCTCTTGGATTTGGTCCATAATCGCTTATATAATGCGAATCTTTCGAATAAAATCCATTATTTGGACCAATTTCGCATTTGATGAGGAGGATTCCTCCCGAGATTTTGAAAAATCAGCAGCTATTAGCTTTTATTCCCATGTTGTATTACGGGGTTTATTGTTCTTCCTCCACGACCTCTATAAGGGCCGCGTCCTCGATCTGGTGGATACATAATCCTGAAAATTAGAGAATTATTAATGATAATTTGGCTTTACAATAATTCAACTTTTCTTCACTTTCGATTAATCTTCCAGGTGAAGTCTTCTATCATGTCATAGACAAATTCAAGGTCTTCAAACAGATATTATCTGTTGTGGTGAAGTAAATTCATCAAGACAATCAAGAATTGTATTACGAACTCGTAAAAGTGATTTAGTCTATGCTTCGCAAAAATATATTCCGTTCTACAATGCCTATATTCAGCAACAATCTTATTATAAGCAATATGTATTACGGATAGTGGATTAAGATAATCAATTTGTGGCCACTCCATCCTGCAAATATTCACGTGATAAGAAATCGGGTAAGGAATTATCACTACCTTTTTATATAAAATTTCAAAATCAAAAGGGGCTAAATTAGCCTCGCCATCGAGCATATATTTGCTTTGAAGAATCATGCTTATAATCTTTATAAATCATGTGTTTAATCGCAAGTGCATCGGTGTGAATGACAAACGACCGATTAAATAAATCATCTTGGAATTTTAATACACATTTTACAATAGCAAGAAATTCTTGTGCAACAGTTGCATATTTCTTTTGAGGTTCTGTCCATTTACCAGAATGATATCTAATAAGATATTCATTATTATCATGAGGGTTAATCTGTTTTAAGATTCCACCGAATCCTATGCTACTAGCATCAGTTTCTATTATCTTTTTCCAATTTGGATTTGCTAATGTTAAACATGGTAGAGTTTTTACCTTTTCTTTTATTTGCTTAACTAATTGAGTATGCTTTTCTGTCCAATCAAATTTAATTGATTTTTTAAGCAAATCATATAGAATTGCTAAATCTTTCTGTAAATTCTTATAGTATGGTGAAATATAATTCAAACTTCCTAGAAATCTCGGAGTTGAATTTTCTCGAGTAAAAACATCAGAAATTTAGAAGAAAATTCAATTGATCGTTGAATAGGGTTATTTTCCCTTGACTTATTTGATGACCAAGAAATCTTATATTATGTTGAAACAAAAGCATCTTTGGTTTAGATATTACTAATCCATTTCGTAAAATAACATCCTTTAATATATTAAGATGTTTAAAATGTTGTTCAATATTATCAGAGAATACTAGGATATCATCAATGTAAACAATTATAAAATCCATATAATGAATAAATATATCATTCATGATTTTCAAATTCGAAGGAGCATTTTTTAATCCGAATGGCATCACATTCCATTCAAATTGTCCTATAGGCACATTAAAAGCAGTTCTATAAGTATGCTCAGGATTTATTTGAATTTGCCAATATCCAGATTTTAAATCGAATTTAGAAAATATGTTGGCATTATATAATTTTGATAATAAATCTTTTTTATTAGGTATAGGATATCTTATCCATTTTAAAACTTTATTAAGTGGCTTATAGTTTATTACTAATCTTGGGACGCCACGTTCTTTTTCAGCTGCATTATTAACATAAAATGCGATACATGACCGAGGAGATTGTGAAGGTTTTATTAAACCCTTTTGAAGCAAAGAATGTAATTCTTCTTTACATAAATTCATATAGACAGAATTCATTTGACATGGTCTTGCTTTAGTAGGAATATCCTTTTCATTAAAATTATCTTCATAAGGGAGATTAACTAAATGTTTCTTTCTATTCCAAAAAGCATTTGGGTGATCAGCACATACTGATTCTTGAAATTGTATTGTAATATGTTTTATTTTTCTTGTAATTTAGTATTACTCAATAATTCAGGTATTGATAAATTCATAATTTCATTTTTAATGAAAAATAATTGTTTTTCTTTAGCTTCTATTAATGATCTAATAGACCTTGTTATAGGGTCTGAGACAAACTGGAAATTTATTGATTTATCTTTATAGGTTCCTGTAAATCCTTGAAAATTAACTTCTTTAAGTGGATATAACATACATAAAAATGGAAGTCCTAATATAATAGGCACTCCTGGCATATTTCTTACTAATAAAAATGTTTGTGGAAGACAAATATTATTTTGACAAACAAAAGCATTAGGCAATTTATATGAAATATCTAATGTATGATTAGATGCGGATTTTAATGCATGCGAGGTTTTTTCAAAATATTGCGTAGGTATTAACCCTTCTTGAACACAAGACAAATCAAGACCACTATCAATCATTGCAATGTTGTCTAAGACAAATTGCCTATCTATCATTAGAGTTAATTTTATATACCATCTTTGAGATGTAATTATTTGTATTGTTTTTAGGAATTCATAATTATGATCTTCGGATATATTTTCACTAAATTAGAATACTTTGTGGATCAATTATAGAGGTTTCACTGGTTGTGAATTCTCAATTGTTTTGATCCTTTTTCTAATAATTCGTTATTTTGTTTCAAATATTTTATTTCATTCTTTATATTATGAACTTCTATTTGTAAGTCTCAATAGTTATAATTGAAGAAGATGACTCTTCTTTATTTAGTAATTTTTCATTCTTTTTCTATTTCCTGCATTGAATAAGGATTATTATTTAAAACTATATCCTTTTTATTAACTTCCTTTTCTTTTTTATGAGACACATCTATCATTTTAATTATTTTATCACGAATATCATGATCTGGTATTTGTTTTAGTAATTCTAAAACATTATCAGTTGTTAACATATTAAATTGTAAATCTTGAAATTGAGATATAATATTGTAAAGACTATTATCCTTACAACAATCATTATTATTATTATTTTGACATGGAAGACATTCATCCGAAGAACTAGATGAATATTCATCATTTTCAAGCATATTATCTTCCGAGCTATTAGTTTCTTCTGTTTCAGACTCAGTATCTGATTCTACTATTACTTTGCATATTTGTTCTTTAAGTTGTTCATCTATTTCTAATAATCTAATTCTATTAATCTTTTTGGGGAGGGTAAATTCCTTTTGTAATTTTTCCATCTGCAAGATGATATTCTCTTTCGAGGAGGAAAATATATTTATCAAGATAAGTGATTATAAACCACGGGACAAAATATATTATTTGATTGTGAAAAGAAGCATATTCATAAAATTCTTTTTGTATAAGTTTTTGATTTTCAATATTATAAGTAGAAAAGAACCATTCTCTGAAAAGTTTCCACTTTTCAGATTGAAATTCTTGTCTTATTATTTGTCTAATATTAGATCCTGGACTAAAATCTAATTTCTCAAGTATTCGCCATGATAACCCATTTCGAAGGTGAAGGCATATCCTTATCAAATGTCTTACTATCACAGACCGAACAATATTATATGGATCAATTTTTACTTGATTTATTCTATTTGTTAGATCTATTTCAGAATCGAAGATGTCAAAAATTTATGAGAATCGATTGGATCTATATAAGATTTAAAAGATCTTAGAGAGCTGGATCTTAGTAATTTAGGAATTTTGGTTTATCAAAAGTAATACTTATCGACCATTATCAGTTGCTCAATTTCGTAACATTACAACTTGTAATATTATGAGTTAATGAGTTTCCTTTAATTCCTTTATTAATTTGCCAAGACTGGAAATTCAATTTCTTCCCATTTTATAGTTTTACGGGTACTAATTTGAGATTT